GGATGGATGGATGGATGGATGGATGGATGGATGGATGGATGGATGGAAGGAAGGAAGGAAGGAAGGAAGGAAGGTAGGTAGGTAGGTAGGTAGGGAGGGAGGTAGGTAGGTAGGTAGGTAGGTATTAATACGCAGGTGTATATATTTATACACACTAGAAGTCCAAAGAGCATTTGTGACAGCACCCAACTGAAAGGAAATCCCTGAAATTCCTGTTCGGAACATCTAAAGACACTCTTAAGAATGGTCTTAGGACTCGCAAGCTGACATCTATAGAAGCTGAAGGCTTGTCTTTGATCCGGGCAGCGTCTCCCAGCGGCCAGAGAACACCGTGCTAAGCTTGTTCTCACCCGCCACGTTGAACAAATCGGGACGCACAGCGATGAACTTCTCACCACCGACATTGATCTTCACATGGCTTTCAGACATATCGAGCTTGAAAAAACATGAACACAGAGATCACAGAGCACTTGCATGGCTGCAAGCAATGTCTTGGCCCTCTTGAGGGCTTCAGCAATCGCACGCAGTCGACATCGATGACTGGATGATACATGGATGGCTTGCAATGGCCTCCATGCAGTGATCACAAGGTGAACACAAACACAAGGCTGACCAATGACAGCCATCCTGTCACCGGATGGAGAAGCTTTCTCAGGGGGGGCGTAAGTTTGATTTGTCCATATTGGGTAGGACCCCCAAAAAGACAGACCCAACTGATCTCCTCTCCAGAAGCTTGCACGGCTTGCTGACTCTTGATTCTGTTTGAACCCCCGGGTTCAGAGTATGAACATGGATTGTGAAACCTCTCCGTCTCCAGATGACAAGCTTCGCACGTTTGATATCTCCAGCGTCGCACTGACTGGGTCGCACTGACTTGGCCCATTCCAGGACGGTCGACCGGCACCGCACTCGGCCTTGGGCATCACTGGGCCCAAACGTCTTGCCTGGCGCGACGAGAGGCACGCGACGCGACGCGCGAGTGCCGCGCGCGACTCCGCCTCGAGACGAGAGTCACGATGCATTCGTGACAAAGAGAATCAGAATGGTGACCGTGGATGGCATGGCAGGTGCCCCCGAGAATAGGCAGACCATGTTCCTGAACCGTGTTCCACGTGGTGGTGTTCCACGTGGTGCCATGGAACGTGAGTTGGAGGGTCAAGTTGAAGATTCAGGGTGGATTTCCCCGGTTGAATTCATTGAGTCACAGAAATAGTCAATGAAGGGAGATGGGATGAGATGGGGTGTGGATGGTGAGCGCTGAGGAAAAAGAAACACAGACCCCTTAGCCGAGAAGAAAAGGATCGGTGGACCCCCTGGTATCGATTTTGGTTCTTTTTGTTCAGGAGTGTCCTGGGTCCCCGACAAGGGCATGGCATGGCCATGGCCATCGAGCAGAAGAATTCTGGGAGTTCATCTGTTGCTGAGGAATTTCTTAGACCGAAGGAACCCTGATCAGAACGCATGACTGGGTCTGCGTCCTGCAATCCGCCAGCTCTGATTTCTGCCTGAACACCTCCCCAAAATAATACTGACTATAATAACCATTCTACACCAGCACCATCCAGGTCGGATGCTTCATAGAATAGCAAATCCCCCATGTGGAAACTTTCCATACCAAAACCACCCTCTACGCTGCCAGGGTAGTGCGCTCTACAAACCTCAACTGACTGGGTGCGAGGCTGACGGGTGTCGGAGTCATTGCCCCCCACTACAGGTTCCGGATCCAGCCACTCGCAGCCACCCGTCGCACCAGTCAGTCAAGAGTCAAGAGGCTTTTCAGTTCCTCCCCCCCATCTCCTTAGGGTGGAGGCCGCTACTAGGACCATCGCTCCTAGGGTGGAGGCCATCGCTTGGTCAAACACCGTCTGACCCTTCCAACGACGCCCCCCGCCTGCCCCCAACAGCTCGCCGCCCGGGAGCGGGGCCCCCACGGCGGGCGCACCTGGCGGGCCTAGCGGCGTGGGAAAGCCAAGGGGGGCGGGAGCTCAGGCCTAGAGGAGTCTGAGGAGTCAGAATCGGCTCAAACCAACCTGATCATATGAAAATATGGTGTAAATTCATGGGTTTGTAGGGCCTTTGGGGTCTGTTGTCGATGGACTCAAGTGTTTCCGAACATGTGAGTTGGTTTCATGATGGTTTCGGGTGTATGCGTGGCGTGATCGTTGTGCAGGGCAGAAGGCACCGCATAGGTCGACGTCATGCGGCGTCATACGATCGTTGGACTGACCGTCATATGACGGTCATGTGACGCTTGGAAAACGACTCACATCATGGACCATGTTGGAGCGTCACGGGGTCACCGCTGTTCTCATCGCTGTCTCTTGTGAGACGCGGTTCCTGAGGCGGTTCCTGAGAGTCCCGGATTTCGACCAAAACCCCCCAGTTTCGAAGTCCAGACTGACTGGATCACCGAGTCGGACATCCCAGGGAGCCACCAGGACTCCCAGGGAACCACCAGGACTCCCCCACCAGGATTGATTGGGCTTTGATGGAGGATCCTCCATCAAAACTCGGCTTCTAGATGACGTCCATCCAGTTTCTAGATGACGTCCGGCGTCCAGCGTTTCCATTGGAGGCGTTCCCCTGGCTTTCCTCATGGCATTCACTCCCAAGAATTGCGGGCGGCGGTCAGGTTCTTGGCGGGGCTTCGAGCTGCAGATCCCCCATGAGTGGCGGGTGGCGGGAGTCACTGACCCGGTCGACGAGTTCGGGGCGCCCGGGAGGGAACTGCCACTCTGGTGGCCGTACCAGGCCACCAAAGGCAGGTGCCTCAAGAATCCCTAGGAACTCTCATCGTCGTCGCCTGCTGGTCTAGGCTCTGTCAACCCAAAAATGCTCACGACCCGCGAGCCGACATGCGTGAGAAGAGACGTTCTAGGGTCTATCCTGTTATCCTATTGCCTGAAACAGTGGATGATGATGGCTAGTAGGGGCCTTGTCCAAAAATAGTGATGTTCTTGTGTAATTGACTGTTACAGGTAAGTTGGGACAGACATGGACAGACCCAAATGATCTACATGACATCAAACAGAATTCCAAGGTTCACTCCCCAGCACCCTTTGCCGAAGTCCAGTTCGACCGATGGACGTGGGGCACCCACTGCACCCTCAAGTCCAAATTCCTCGACTCGGTGAGGCGTTCCGACCGTTTGAAAAATGGTGGGACTCCCCACGCAACTCGACCCACTCGACCCACCTTGCCTTCATGTGGGCTCCAACCAGGCACCCACTGCACTGGACTGCCGCTCCGTCCATTAGCCGGCGGCGACACGCTCCGCGCGTAGACAAGGGAAATGCCCCGCGTGTGCACGGGCTGCGCGGTGACACGCATGCCCGCCTGGCCAGCGGCTTGCGGCGTAACGACGACGACAACAACAAAGGTCATTAAAAAAATAACAACATATATATAGTACAGTACAGATCATTATTGCAGTACAGTACAGATCGATGCAGTAGGAAGTGAATTCGTTCATTCCAATTCTTGTTTTGTTTTTTTATTCCCATTCTTCACATTCTTCACTGTGTCTATCACGAAGGACGCGCGCGGTCGACTCTTTCCCGGTCGGTCGACTCTTTGGGATGACGCCAGTCGACGGCGCCATGAACCCGCCACGACCAATGGCACTGCACCATACCCACACTTAATCGATCTATATGGAATATATATATTACCCGCATTCCTTCGGCTGGTGTCAAAAGGTTTTAAGATCTTCATCTTCATATGAGGGCCATAAGGTACGTCAATATGTCCACCATGGATGATGTCCCGGCCCGGCCTGGGGCGACCCCGCCCAAACGATGGCACCATCCGGCGCTCGAGTGATCATGGCTTCGGTCCCAGACGGGGGCTGAGAGGGACGACGAGTGGGGACGTGCCGCTCCGAGGATCTGACGCGAGTTTCTTCGGGTGCTATGGAACCAACAGAGGTGGGTCATGACCCGAACGTTCGACTATCCCATATAGGTACCATAGGTCCCCCAGGTGACGGGTCCTAGTTCGGGTCACTTAACCTCTCTTGGAAGATGGGGTCGAAGAGGCACCGCCTTGGACGTGAAGGTTGTTAGACATCGCCCGAGGTGTTTGGTCCTGCGCCCGACGTGGCATTTGTTACAAAAACACGATATTTGAGTCGCGGTCCCGTTTGCATCGGGTCACACGTGTCGACACTAGACAAAAGAAACAAAAATCAAAGTAATCCAAGTGGATTCGGTATGCAGATGTATGAAGCTTGCGGTCAGTTCCTCGATGGGTTGGGACTTTGAGGCGCATCAACGTCTCATCGCCTTGTACTGCCGCATCTCACAGCTCCTGTTCCTTCACCAACAACACCAGCACCGCCCTCTAGACTTGATGAAAAGGAGGCGCGTCCGTCGGCGCGGCGGTGGGAGTGAGTGGCGGTGAAGGCTGCCAGGGGCCTGGAGACTTTCTCCAAACAAAATAAAGAAGAACATACTCCATGAGACTGGTATATACTTGCCTACATTGACAAGTGAAACCACGCCATATGTAGGCATATATGCCAGTCCCATGGGGTGTCCACTACCGTCCTTCACAACAACACCATCTCCACTTCCACGGAACCATGTGATGATGGTGATGTGTGAGGGTAAGTGTAATGTAGACGTCTGATTAGATTTCAACACCCCCCAGGCCTGAAGAGGTTGTACATGGCTTTACCGTCAGGGGACTGACATTTAACGCGCACATCAGGGCATAAATGTTGCATGTTCATCACTCTAATAACCCTGGAAGTCAAAAACCTTTTTTAAATGGTTGATCTGGTTCTGTACGGTAATGTAAATATCCTTGAGTAACGCAGCTTGGTTTTACGGGATAACGGATAAAGATTATAAAACTATAAAGTTCTTAAATCAATGGTGCTTCGACTTTCAGGGACCAACTAAGAGTCTACCAGCACCCAGCTCGGGTGCGTCATAGATACACCAAATCCCTGCATGCATGTGTCCTTTTCATCCCCAAAACCCACCCACGACCGTGTCTTTGTGGTGCTTGCTTCGGGTGCATGGGCCGCAAGCGGACCGACCCGGCTCGGTGAAAACCGAGTCTGTAACCACGGCCTTTGGGGTGTGTTCTGGAAAAGTGGCTGAAATCCCAAAAAATCGACACCTCCATCCGCCTCCGGAAGCGAAAGGAAAGGAACCTATAGGGCGTGGGCTGGGCGAATCCAGAGCGACCAAAACGAAGTGAACTGCCCCGAAGTCACATGTCTCGGTCGCACCGCCGAGACCGCCCTCGGCACCGAGGCCGTCTCCCCGTCGACCTCGGCACCGTCCCCTGCGCTTCCGGACGAAGGCTCAAGGCCTCCGCCGCCGTCCCGTCGGGCGCGAAGCGAGGCTTCAGCTCAAAGTCGCAGTGAGGAGCCTCGGCGACCAACGGGGAGATGAGGGGAGACGAATTGGTGGAGCATGTCTTTGGAGCAGATGACATTGGATGATGTGTCAATGATTTCATGAATTCAAAAGAATCAACAAACTCTATATATACAGTATATATTCCCTCGTAGTGGTCGGTCTTTCTTTCTTTCTTTCCTTTCTGTTCCGTTCCTTTCCTATCCTTTCTTTTCTTTCTTTCCGCCTCCCTCTCTCTCTCTCTCTCTGTTTGCAGTCTCGCTACCACACAGCTGCGGAGCTTCCGGACCTCTTCCTTGATGACAAACCAGAGTCTTCCTCTCCTCCTCTTGGCCACCGGACTGGCTCGCCATCGGGCGTGATCAGACTGAAATGGACATTCACCGACTTCGTCTCGACCTGGACTGATCCGACGGCGTCATCTGACTGTCGCATGACTGCGCTGGGCACCTGACTTGAAGGGCCAACCTGCGAATAAGAAGAATGGTGGCAAAGCCCGCAGTGAATTGATACTTTCCCTGGAAGTCCAAGGGAATCTTTAACATGGTCCTTAAGCAATCCGAATGGTATTTCACTTAGATGGTAGTTGAACTGGACTTCTAAAGTGGTTTAAGATTCTGCAAGATTCTGAAAGGCCATCCATTGGGCTCTCCCTTTGGAAGAAATACAGGGCCCCATTTGATACCATCTACCGGTACCTATATTGGTTGTGCACTGGGGGCTATCCCGTCTGTTCATGAATATGGTCAAATATATATCAAAAATAGATGCTCAAAATATATGTTCAAACAGGTGCCAAGGAGGGCCATCCATGGGGCCAACAAAAACACCGGAACATCTCGAACATCCACCAGAAAACTGTCCTCATCCCTTCCTTAGGAACCGACATGGACGGAGGAGACCGACAGAAAGCTGGGGACGCTCCGCAAAGCTGGGGTTGGTTCGCATGAAGGTTCCATGTGAGCGTCGTGGAGGAGAGCGCCATTTGTTTCTGACTTACACGTTCTTTGCAGGCGATGAAGCACGCAACATCAAAGGAATCGGGCACGGTTGCAACTGTTCCGCCACCAAACACCAAAGCGCTCGCAGTCCCCGCGTCTGACTGGTCCCACCCGCCCATCCGCGGCAAGTTTGGCCAGGTTGGGGCCAACTTTCATGACGGCTCCCGACATCAATTTGATGTTGGGGGCGTCATCAAAGTTAAAGTGAATCTTCAGGTGCAATCAAATGTCCATCATCTGGGTCAGCTAAAACCCTGCCCAGAATCAAAAAAAGAGAAGAGATACAGTAACTGTCTCTTTCACGGCAGCTCCACCAAGAAGAAACCCACCAAGTCATGGCAAAAAAACCGCTTGTTTAGATCTGCCTCCTGTCGAAGCGGCATGAAGTCCCCTTGCTCATTGACCTTGCACATGGAGAACCACATGACGTTCCAAATCGTTCAAAGGGGCTGTGCATGAAACTAGGGAGATCTCTGGTTTTTCAGATACTTCTGGAACGATCAAAGAATGCTTGGCGACCACAAAAATGGTAGCAACCCCCAGTCGGCCCCCCCACTTCTATAATGATGCGTTTGTGCAACAAAGTAGTGCCAGTGTCAGATCAGATCGTTTCTTTCCACATTGCAACGAAGCGCTGGTTGAGTACAACCAACAGCCGTTCATGTTGATCGAACCTGGTTCTCCTCAAACCTGGTAGCGTCTCATGAAGCCAAAGCGTGCGGACCGTAGCTGGGACGGAAAGAGAAAACGACTCACAAGGTGAAAACACCTGTTTCTGGAGGGGAGGGTAAAAGGAAAGACGTTTTAGTGGCTTCAGCACCCTTTTCAACTTTGAGCCAAAGATCAAGTAAGACGGTTAGTTATCGTCACAGCTATGGCAAACTGAATTCCTACCAAGTGAAAACAGCAGGTTTATCCCCAAGTGATTCTCGTCCCCCCCCTCAAACGACTGCTTTGGTGCAACGCCTCGTGCAAATGCAAACCCCCCAGCCAGGCTTGCGTATGCACGCTTCTGTAGAGCAGACGATTGAGGAAGTTAAAAGGAACTACACAAGGGAGATACTAAGGTACAAAAATTAAAGTACAGGCTCAGAAAGCGCCGCTGCAAAGTGCCAGGCGCCGCAAGCAGACGAAGGCCGCAACCAACAAAGAACTTAAAGACAAGGAAGACGTCAACCAAACAATCCTCAGTTAGCCCGCGCAAGCGCTGGGTCAAACCTCTGGAAAACGGGTTTACTTTTTACGAAGTTTCGACACAAAGTTACGACTCTCGACCTTAGTACGGATCCTGAGTGCTGTCCTTAGTCGTCAGGTTTCCTTAGACAAGACAGGACACAGGCACACCATGATTGCATCCCGAGCCAAAAGAAATTTGGGTCTTGATAGCGCCTTGGTGAAGATGTCTCCTAGCTGTTCTCGTGTTGGGGACAGCTCTACTTCTACCAAACCCATTTTGACACTTTCGGCCAAAGCGGCCACACTTATTCGATGAGTTCTGCTCAATGACCGCAATTTGATGGAATACCCATTACGGATAATCTGGCATACTGCCGAATTGTCCTCTTTCAGCACGGTTCGCACATCTGTACCCAATACAAGCTCTAGTACTGATTCGACGGGAATACCGTCATCGAAGATCATGGTAGAAGCCGACACGATCTCTGCTTCCGTTGTAGAACGGCTTACACATGATTGCCTCTTTGCACTCCACATGACCGGGAACTTAGTTCCACTAGAATCGACAATGACCATATAATGTCTTTGGCGGGCTTAGGCTCGGCCGTCTTCCGTCTTCTGACTGGTTCGCCTTCCAACAACTCATCAAACCGATCTCGACAAGCCTGAGTATGAGCCGTGGAAATCCCAGTCCTACATCCTTCACATCCCGGTGTTTTACCATAAGAAGCAATGCGAAGTTCTGTGATCTTTCCTCTTCTTATCTTGATCCCTTTGTCAGGTACACTACTGTCTTTCTCTTCTTCTCCAAACAAATCCTGCTCTTCTTCTACAATATCATCAAAGATAGGTTCATCTGCAGGGTTGTCTTCAAGGATAGAAGGTTCATATTCGAAGTCATCAGCAGGAGCGGTTTTATCCTTGGTCTTGGCTGGAAACCTCCAGTCACCAACAGGAATGGCAATAGACCTAGTGACTACTTCCTTACAAACTCCTTCCAGAAAAGCATCAAGTGGCCATACCCTGTAGCAACCCTTGAACAGCATCCCATCCGTCAGTTCAGCACCCAGAAACAATGATGCCTCACCCTTGGGAGAGTACGTGGTCACGTCAGGATTCTTGTACCATACCAAAGCGCCAAATGGAACCATGAAAGACTCAATAGGATAACCCATGGCAACCTCATACCTAGTGGGGGCCGGTCCGTCATCATCCCATTCACCTACAGCGGGGGTTGAGACATTGAATGCCCACTCCAAGTACTTCTGAGCCAATGGCCAATACTGAGGTTCAACCCCTGCATGCAGCAAAATAGAAGTGGTCATTCCCTTGACATTTCTTACCATGGATTCGGCGATGGGGTTATGCAAACGCTGATTGGGTGCGGCAGGCTCCTTAGCAAATCCAAGGCTGTCCAATGCTTTGCGCAACTCTGGTGCACGATCCGAAGCAACCTGAACCACTCCCGGACGTTTCTTACCAACCATTCTTCTCAACGCCGTCTCAACTTCTTCTGCTGATTTGGTCATGCAGGGGAAAAGAGAAACAAATCCTGAAAATTGGTCAACAATCACCAATGTATATTGCTCTCCTCTGTTGCCAATTTCATCCCTACTCACTATGTGATCTATTGATATTTTCTCCAAGTAATGAGTTGGTTTCTCTTTCTCTCTTGCCTCTCGAAGTCTCTCATTCATGTTTTGATGTCTTCTGTGCTGAGCTTCCAATAGTTTCGCTTGTTGACATGTATCACAAGTTTTCGATTTGGGTAGGTGAGTCATCAAGTGATGAATCCCTGATTCGTCTTGTTCCCGTTCAAGCCCCTCTTCACCCTGGTCCCCACTGATTTCCTGGTGGCCCTCATCACCTCGGTCACCTCCGCCCGCGCCAGGCGCAGGGTCAGAGGGCAGCGGCAACGGAGACCCACCTTCTGGATGAGAACTACTGACCCCTTCCTCCGCTCCGCCAGCGCCAAGCGCATGGTCGGAATGCAACAAAGAAGAATCAGCCACAGGATCACCCCCCCCAACAGGAACATCGGCGGCGGGTAAACCATGAGTGCATTCGATGGAGAGCCTGAAAATTGGAACATGGTGATCAACACGAACTGCTTCCACAACCTCCCCTTGGATGTCAATGGTGCAATGCGTGGCCGGTGGAACCAACATAGGTAATGAATTGGGTTCCCAAACAAATGTCCAACCGGATTCGGCGGAACACAGCTGACCAATTGACAACGCCAACGGACACTGGGGCAATAGGTAGGCTTGATGGAATCGATCAAATTCACGAGACCAAAAGCCGACTGTAGTACTTCCGGATTGGTGGCCCCCCCCGTCAAGAAATTGAGAGGTTTCGAACTTGTAGTTACAAAGTCCGATGGGAGGTTCAAACTCTGTCTCTTGAAAGCCTCAACGGAACCGAGGTTTTCCCCGGCACCCGTATCTCCAACAAACTCCAAGAATCCAGAGTGCGAGTCCGCTACAGCTGAAGTTGCCAGAATAGCAACAGCTGCAGCCACCTTAGCAGTGCCTGAAGGGCCGTTGGATGTTCCCTTCGGGGCCGCCTGAGCTGTACTTGCATGTGAGTAAGGACATGAATCACCCCTCATACACCTGCCTTTGGCATGATAGATGCATGGATAGTTAGACTTATCAGCGGGTGTCATGGGTTTCGGTGGGTTTCCCGCCGGTACTCGAAGTGCTGCCTGAACCTTTGGGCTTTTCCTTTCCGGAATCCTTCTTGTCTTTGCTTTCCCCTTTTCCTGTGCTTTTCCCGGTCCCTTTGTTGGGTTGTGTCGAAGAACTAGAACTTGCTGCTTGCTTGGGGTTCGCTTTGGGAGAACCTTTCTCCTTTCCTTTGGTGGCTGTCACCGCAGGAGTTTTCTTCACATGGGTCGGCCCCCGTTTCAAATCATCTCTTAATGACTGGGTATTGGTGTCATGTTGAGCCTCAAGCAAAGCTCGTTCGACCCCTTCCCATAGTGCATCAAATGATCGATTGGGTGAACCAATGGAAGAATCATAATACTTGTCCATAACCCTTCGCATGAGCGGATGGCGCTTGAGTGTGTTGAAGATCCACTGAGACATCAATTCCTCGTTGGGCCTTTGACCTACAGGGAGTTGACTCAAGATGTACACTACCCGATCACGCCAATGTCTGAGGGCGGCTGCTGAATCCTGAGGCACCGGGAGTTGGAACAATTCCAATGACGAAGTGATTGCACCTGCTGCCACTGAAGTGTCAAATTCTCTCGAAACCAAATTCACTATGTAGCGACCTCTGACTTGTTGGGATGTCGACTCACACAGTTCGACGTAGGACTGAATTTTCAAACCAAATGAGGTCTTCAATGCTTCGGGCTTACACAACACGCGATAACTCTATCCAATCGAGGAAAATCCCCTGACGAGGTTCTAAGCAATTCAGCTTGTTGACCCCGGGCTTGAAATGCTGGATTGAGCCAATCATTGAGTAACCCCTCTGGGCTATGATCATATGACAGCAACATGGTTCGAACAGCATTCTTCCACGATCGAAATTGAGACGCTGAATCCGGCAATGTCGGTAACTTCAAGTGATGGAGATCTTTGGTCCTGAGTGCTCTTCGTCCCACATCATCTGGTTCACCAACACTACTAGGACAACCAACACCGAAGAGATTGGGGTTCTCTTGATCATCATCTTCTTCCCCAACCGGCTGCATATGAAAACCTATTGGCATTCTGGTAGCGGGATCCTGATTATCCAACCTGACAACTGGCGTCGTGCTTCCTTCTTGCAACACTTGTGGTGCAGGAGCTTGCTGCGTCCAAAGATCCTGGATATACTCTTGATGGGTATCCAATTTGGATTCAACTCTGGAAAGCTGCAATTCGAGGCCATCAAGTCGTTGGATGATCCCTTGCATCTCCGTTCCATTGAGGGATAAAAGGTTTTGTGTTTGGGTTTCTCTAGCTCTTTCTGTGTGTTCACTCTGTGCAATCGAAGCTTGCAACTGTCCTCGAAACCATTGATTCTCTCTGGTCATGTATTCCACTTGAGCCCTTAGTCTGCTAATCTCATTCATTGCCTCAGCCCTAGTTGATTCAGCATCAACCCTTGCTTGTGCAACAGCCTGAGCTGCTTCGACCTGTACCCCAGCCACGACTGAAGCTGCTTCGGCTCTCAACCCGGAGGTCGCTGCCGATGCCGCCAAGTCACCAATCATGTTGGGGTCTGGACCATGCACATGCTGCTGAAAATGAATGGACCTTTGATCTAAGTTCACTGTTCTCTGATCCTGATAAACTTGAGTAGATGATACCTCCCTAGTATCAACCATCACTTCATCATGATTCTCTTGGCGGTTCATCTGAACTGCATAGTTCCCTGGACCAAAAGAAACTGGATCATGAGATGTGGAGTTTCCCAATGGGTTTCTAGGCATGGGCAACAACGATGCTGACCCTCTCTCCAAACTATCCGGGGAAGCGGTCGGCCTTTCCATGTCCGTCAACATCCTTCCCCTTGGGGGTCGATGTGACGGAGGATAAGGTGAGCTGGATTGCCTCTTCACCGGAGTGATGGATCGATTTCTGGGTCTTCGTGTCGAATCACTAGATTCCTCTATCTCGCTGCCGGCTGCTTGTGCAGGTATTCCGAAATTCTGGCTGGTGGATGATCTGATTGAAGTCAAATGAAGACTGGATGAACTAGTTTCTTCTGCCATGCACTCCCCAACAACCTACTTGTGACCAAGTTTCCAAGAAGAAAACAACCGCTTTGGCCCCGTCAGCTGCTCCCGCGCAAGCGCAAGGGTAGACCAGCTGCGATCCTAATCAGTCGTGAAGATACCTGGCCAAGCAGGAAATTCCTTAGGGACCAGTCCACGACGTGTCACCCCTGCCAGGGCTTTCGTGAGGTCTTCCACCACCACACAACCAGGGGGCAAATGCCATGGGGATTTCTGCAAAGAAATGGATTCACAAGAATGGTATCCAATCCCTTTCCGAAAGCTTCCAAGCGAGATCCAACCGATCGTCAATATGGATCGAGACAGTTCTTGGATTCAGAAGTGGCTTAGCCTTGTCCGAGTCAATCAACAATCGCAACTGAGTGTGGTAATCACTGTTAAAGGGATGTACCTCTGACACAGCCGATTGACGTCGAGCTTGAGAAGATGGTCCGGCACGGCCTATGTAAGAACAGATACCTGCCTGGTGGTAGCGGCTTTTGTGAAGCCAGTTACACAACGATGACCGGGCAGTACGTTCAAAACGACCCTCCACTTCACTGTTGAGATCCAGAACCCCGTGTAAATCCACACTGATTCGAATGAAGCAGTTGGCACTTGGCGCCGCTGTTCGTTCCACTGGAATGTGTGCAGCCGGTGACAAACCCACAACCGGATCCGAGATACGTGGCCTAGCTTTGGGGATGACAGCCTTGGGACTCAGCGCAGAAACAGCCTTTGCAACAACCGGGGTAGCCTTTGGTTCCACAGGAGCAGCCTTAGCTTCTACCGTTGGTACGAGTTCCAAAGACACAGTAGGGCTTACCGGTTCCACAGCAACCGCCTTGGCCTTAGGGGATCTCTCACCCCTTGGCAGCTCCAATTGCCGCTTTGCTGGTGAAGCCTTCTTCTTAGAATCACTACTCGAACCTGCCTGTGGATTTTCAGACAACGCCGGTGCTACCAAGAACTGGGTGATGTCTCCAACAGAAGATGAATCAACTGTATCCACAACTGCCCTTGATGCACTCGATGCTGCAAGTTCCCCCCTAACCTTTTCCACTCGAGCCAGCGACGCTGACCCAGTGGGGGCTGACTTGGGATTGTGTCGACCCTCGAGGGTTTCCCTTGCTAAAGCCTCAGACTTTCTAGTCTTCTTACCCCCACGCTCTCCACGAGGCATACAAGGCTCTATCCAGAACGCAGGCCAGACCAGTCTGCGGCGCAAGCCGCAGTAGAGCTGCATGCAACGGAGCAGCAGCGAGGCAGCTATGGCTAGATGAGACCACAAACCAAAACAAAGTAAACACACAAGAACCAAATACGGCTGATAACCACGTTTTAGTGGCTTCAGCACCCTTTTCAACCTTGAGCCAAAGATCAAGTAAGACGATTAGTTATCGTCACAGCTATGGCAAACTGAATTCCTACCAAGTGAAAACAGCAGGTTTATCCCCAAGTGATTCTCGTGAAAGAAATACAGCATAGCGACAGAAATGCGCCGTATCTCTGTTTCAGACCATTCTGAGGAGTGTCTTTTCTTCTATCGCCATCAAAGGATGGATATGGGATGGATGCGTCAAGTTCCAAAACAACATCGTACCGCTCTCTCGATTGAAAAAATACGATCGAATCTACTTATTCTGCGCTCCCCTTTGTGAAGGAACTCAGATCCTCACGCCCATAGGCCATGTTAAGAATCTTTCCCTACAGGCCCTAGAGGTCAGTTTGACCTCCTTTGACTGCCACAAATGCAGAGTTTGTTCAACCCAAATCCTGTTTAATTTATCAGCATTATCTGGTCATGCGATCCCAAAATTGGATTCAATTGGCATAGCACTTCATGCAGGCACGGATGTTAAAGGAGAACAGATTTCCAAACCTCCACCTCCAAAAAAGGAACTGGCAGGACTTCCGACTTCCACAAGCCCTGAAACGGAATGACGTGAGTAGAGGTTCCACAACCATCGGAAAGTCCCCCACGGTGCTGCCCAGCTCATCGGCCTTGACTTCGAAGGATGTGGCCACCTCAGTCGCCAGCGCCAGCGCGCGCGCTCCAGCCGCGCGCCCAACAGCAAGGCGGGACTAGGGAGACCAAGCGTTTTGGCATTGTGCGGGGAAGTCCTGAGTCGCCAAGAGGGCTGAAGAGACAGAACAACATGGGAGGGGAACAAAAAAATATGCTCAAAACTCAATCAACCTACCTGGACCCTCCAAGAGGTGTCTATAAATATAGCCTCTTAGAGTTTTACAACCGCCTGTTGGAAGGTCCTCGTGTACGACCAGCTTTTTCATTCTTTAGGGGTGTCCAAACAATGATCCCTAAGTACCGGAGGCTACTCCAGGAGACCCAGACAGGATGGTACTGGTGGAGCTGCCATTTAAAAGAAGAATCCCAAAGACCACTTCGCAGCTTCATGCGAATGATGTAGACTGATTCATAAACCCCTCGAATTGGAACATCCTCTTCATATGGGCGGCTTATTAATCCCAGAGTCTACATTGTACATCAGGCCCGAGAAACTGTCACCGTCCCACGCGAAACGGGCGCCCGGGCGAAGGCCGACGTGGCTTCAGGCTCCAGCTGGAGGGTCATCGTCCTCATGGCATCGTCCAACGAGAGGACGGTCAAAAGGATCTTCAAGGACGGCAAGATCGATGGTCAGAATGGGTCTTCGAATGCCTATTTTGGGGGGAGGCCTGTGATGTCGGCGCACTGGTGAAGAATCAGCATGTGTAAGCGGAATGATTCCATACTTCACCGCGGGTGTTATCAGATGTGAACTGAAGGCACCTGCCAAAAGCCAGTCGTAGCATCTCCAGCCGGGCAAAGACCAAAACACATTTTGAGTCCAATCAGCTGGAGATCCTTACACCAAACACCTATATTCAGCTGATTGAATCTACATTGGCATACACCAATCTCAGCATAGTCCAGCTATATTGAGTCCACATGTTGAATCTCCAATGCCAATTGGCACACATGTTGAATCTATATTCAATGTCCTTACACCTGAATCTTCCAACTATGCAAAAAGTATGCCTTCTCCCTGCCTTTTTGGCACAAAAAGGCAGATCATTTTGATTGGAAGATCCAGGGGACCAGGACCATCCATTTTCCGGGCGTGGCTGCAGTCCAGCCTACGTGTCAGATCTCCATTGCACACCCAAGCAGGATGGGTTAGGATGGTTTAGGTATGTTTAGGTATGTTTCGGTAGATCTCCCCCCTCCTCCTCCCCCTCGGATCCCGTCCCCATCGGCAACTCCACGGACGCCACCCCCAGCTCGCTGCTGATGCCCCTCGCCACGACGGACCCCGTGGAGGACCTCGGTGCGATGAGGTCGGACGTGGTGAGGACGGACGGTGAAGCCTTGGAGGTCCAGGGCGGTCCAGGGGCAGTCGGCTTGTGAGGATCCAGGACGGCTTCATCTTTGTGACCAAAGGCGCACAGATGAAGATTGTGGAGCTCCTTGGTCACAGGAAACACCTCCGTTGCGGAGGTTCTAAGGATTCTAAGGGCCCATGCTTGACCACGAAGGGGCATCTCCTGAGCAGGGAGGCGGGGAAACACCGTGAGCTCAGACGTTGTTGCTTCGCAAAAGAAACACATGCCAGGACCCTCCTGCCGGGATGTCTAGCCATATAGCCCCTGGACGCTGTGATTCGGGGTGTCCATGTCTACCACGCCTTAGGGCTGCTGGTGCAGCCGCATTGGGTGGCTTATTTCGGACGACGCTGTGGCCGGTTTTGGATTTGGTCCGGTCTATTTCCTGGAAGAAGGCAGGACGACCAACCCCACTTCAGTTCACCCCTCCACATCTGTCACGGACTTCGACTGACCTTCCACGCCCGGAGTGTCTCGCGGGGGTGGGAGGGACACCAATCAGTGCGCCGGTCTATGTCCTGAACCTTCCAGGAGAGTCGAAACGCGTGGGAGGTCCCCCTCCTTGAATACACATCCTGTTCTTCTTTGAGGTCGGAGAACGACCCCGTGGCTGCTAGCGAGGTCCAATGAGTTCAAAGGTGGCATCCCTTGGCACAAAGGCCATGGTCAAAGCCATGGTCATGACCCCCAATCCATCAATAAAAGGTCCGAAGCTGAACCCGTCTGGAGCCCCTGAGCCAAGCAATTTCTGCAAGAGAAAGCCTGGGAATCAGCCAAATGATCCAACATGTCGCTCCAGGCAGTTCAGTTGAGGGCCCCCTTGGACGTTGGTGTCTGCACTTTCGACCGCCGGACCAGCAGGTCGAGGGGGGCACGCCTTTTCAACAGTCTGAAGGGTCGAGTGAACAGCATGGAACCCACCACTTTATATGACACTCTGACGGACACATCACATGGAAGTGGATGGCATGTGTTTTTGGAAGACTACTTTCATTGACGAACAGGGATTCTTCCACTTCATGTGATGTGTTCGTCGGAGTGCAGTTGGGACGGCCTTCCAAGTCAATCCTCACGGGTTGCTCCCATCCTCGGGCCTCACCGGCTCATCAAAGCGGCTGCGCAGCAGAAATTCGCACCTAGCAACTGGATGAGACGATGGCGGAACTGGATAAGACGATGGCTCGATCCATGAATGTCTGAAGTTCACCGAGCTAACGGAAGTTCACGGAGTGGCCTTTGATTCTGGAGGGTTTTAGGAAAGTGCATGGGTTGTTGGGCTGTCTGAGTAGATGCACTTCCGAAAACTAACATGGACCCCGAGAATGGCGCCCTGAAAAGACAAAATACCAGTGCGCTGGGTGATGTTGACCTTTCATCAATGGAACGCTTTTCAGAAACTGAACAACATATTGGAGGAACTGGTTGACACCTGGGCCTGCACGGCACCAACCGCCCTCCGGGTCGGTCCGGTCGGCCCCCTGTCTCGCGAGCGACCCACGGCCGGGGTCTCCGCACGCGAAGCGCACGCGCTTGACGATGATGCGGAAGAACTGGTGGGCATCAATGTCCTGCACCTCGATCGCAGTCCAGTCAGTCCAATTCGGGAATCCGGATGCTCCAGTCATGCGGTGGAAGGGCTTTTTTTTAACGAATGGTGTTAGGAAGAAAGCAGCCGGGCCAGCGCTGAACCGGGCCAGCACCTGGTTTGAACATTGGTGGGCGATTCCTGAAAAAATGTCTGACCCTTGGTCCAAGTGCTCTGGCTTTGAGGGAGACCCCAACGAATGGGTTTTTCTTGCAGGGGGGCGAACTGGGAGGTCTCTCCACGTCTCTATAACATGCTCACATCTCGGACAGGGCTGGCTGGACATGGCCTGGGCCAAGAGGGAGAGGAAAAAAAAGAACAAGGCCGGCCGCTGTTCCTCCCCCCCAAACGCGGACGAAAACACACCGCCTCCACGCACGCGATCCTGCGATTTCTGGCCTCGAGATCCTGCGCCAAAGGTTCCACAGGCCACTGGGCCACCTCTTCCTGGGGACGTTGCGTCGGCAGGTCAGACCTCCCGCCTAGGTGGGTTCTTCAAGCTGTGGCGAAGAATCGCTGGAAACATCGGCGATCGGGACCTGAGAACACCAGGAACTACCAATGAGAATGGGAACGTGGCCGGTCTGCCAAATGAGTTTGGAGCTGAACTTCTGCGACCAAGCCAATCCCCAAATGGCATCTCCATGGCGTGGTTGGCATGGAAAGGCAAGGTGGTTCGATTCGAAGCTGGGTCACATGCTGGCGTCCTTCAATCCGAATCCTTGCAACTGGTTGTTGCAACTTGGGCTACAAAGGCATGTCCATCCCGAGTCACAGCTGCCATAGCAACGCGCACATGACAGAAACAATCGAGAGGCGCCGTCGACGAAATCCAACAACCACTTGACGAAATCCAAACAAAGGATTTGTAGACGGACTTCTCACTTTGCCGGGGCAAACTCTCTTGAAGTCCTTTGCCCCTTCTGGTTATTGTAAAGCCCCCTTCTAGGGGTACACAACCATAAAGAAGGGTATACAACCTAGAAGTCATTTTACTGCTTGTTGTAAAGCTGTGCATATAAAATCTTAAATAGTTCTTCTTCCACCATGGCTTCTTGGTTGCAGTGAGACAGACCCAAGTCGTGGGAGAAAGGGAAACCTGCGGAAACCCCTTTCACGCACACACCACATTTGGCATCTGCCAAGGCCAAAGGCCAACCATTCCCTTCAAAACACCAGGTCCCCACCACTCGCACCAACTCGCACCAACCGGGACCCTCCACCTCCACCTCCACCACCGTGCGTGGGTGCCTCGCTCTGATAGGAGGCCACATGCAGTCCCAGACCCAAGCGACCCTTCGCTTGGCCCGTGGCCTCGGACCGGCGCTGGGGTGGCACGGGTCCGACTCTGAAGGACACGCGAGAGGTGGGAAGACCAGTGCGTCAATCGCAAAGAGAAAACCAGCAGGACGAAGCAACTACAGTAAAACACCAAATGAATCCAAATGAATTGATAAAGAAAGGAGGAGAAAAGAGAAATATCATGAAACCTGGTATTATTCGTCTAGTATATACTATGTGCATACGATCTAGACCGTCTGTCGTGAGGGGGAGTACATCTTCCATTCACTTTGAATGACATTTTGCAGTCATCCGACCTCTCAAGACCTCTCAACCCTTGCTGGCTGGAAATAACTCATGTTGTTTTCGAGATCCGTATGCCGAACCTGATGCGGGTCTTGATCAACGTCGGTGATGATGAGACTTGCTCAAGTCTACCTACTCAAACCACTAGCAAAGTCCCTGCAGAGAAATGGCTACGTGCATGTTAAGATGTTTTGAGAGGATATCCAAACCAAAGAAATGGCTACATGCATGTTGAGATATGTTGAAAGGATATCCAAACTTATTCCTATAAATGCGCCGGTGTTTAGAAGAAAGGGATGCTTTTGGAGCCTTGAGCGAATTCAAGGGCAGTTCCGCTCATCAAGCCTGGAGGGGTTCTGAAAAGCAAATCCGAGCATCCATTTTCGCTCGAGTCAATCGTTAACTCCTGGTCCAGGAGGAGAACATGGAACAAAACAGCCATGGATAATAGATCTATCCCAAACACTCCATGGGACTGGCAGTTGGGACTGGTATACCTGCCTACCATGCTTTCCAAATGTGCACAGTGCATCTAGACCAGTCCCCTTTGGTCGTGTCCTCGAGCAAAGCGTCACTCTCTCGTCTCTTTCCGCGCCTTGGTCACAGTGGCCAGGCCGTCGGTGAAGCCATCCTTCGGCGCAATCCTGGCGACGACCGCCCATTGACCGCTGCGAAACAGCGAGAGCCGAGAGCCTCCTGTGAGCCTGTAAACATACATGTAACCATGGAATAAGATGTAGCCTGTAAACATGCTGAATGGCTACCTTTAGACTCCTTTGAATCACCTGAAAAAAAAAAAGCCACTCGGTCACGGACCCGCGTGAGACACGTTCCACTCGCTTCCCACTGCGTGGCCAAGGGAGACACAAGACCCGCCCCACAGGTGAAAGGACATCAAGGAAGGACAGAGACGGCCTCGATTGGAAACTCCCACGAAGGAAGTGTTTGGCCAACTTACGCGAAAAGAGAAACAGAGACCAACTCAAGCAAATGAGACTCACACCTCAAAGGAATGCCTCCGCGAATGATGCCAGAAGGCATTGCCCCCCCCCAATTGAAAAACCTCCTTCATAAGGGTGGTTGTTATAAATCAAGAGTCTACACCCACCTGAAAAAATATTTTGGACACCGGATCGCCCGTGTTCAGCGGCTGTTGGCGAGCTCATGATGAAGCACTCACGTCCCCGGAGCGGTTCCCGCTGTTGAATTGGAACAGACCAACCCATCCCGAGATGCCAGTTCTTTTAAGTTAAGTTACTAAAGGACGGACCACGAATCCAAGAACGCCTGAAGGCTCCATAGTCTCCATAGGACTTGGCCGTATCCTTTGTCCATTCCTTTTTTTTTCCCATCTGCCTCCTTTGCCGCGGTTCACCTCCAAAGGCCCCTATACCCGCCGCGTGCCTCAGCGGAAAGTGCCCGTAGGGCCTGGCCGAAGGATCGCGGCGAGCCGAGGCGAGGCGAGGCCCCGTACTGACCGGGACCCTCCAACAAGCTGTTTGGAGACCCGACCACGGAGGTACTTTCTGGGCACCTGTTGTCACCTGTCAGGAAGCACCTGTAGAGTCGGGTGCTGGTAAGAGTCCGGCGTTCTGACCTCCGACTGAGACAGAACTGACTGAGACAGACTGAAATCCGATCCAGAAGTTCCATGACTCATGAACTTCTAAAACTACCCCAGTTGAGTCACGATCTGTTTATTCCACTGCTATGATTCGGGGAGTTCAGGAGCCCGGGACTGGACGAACCTCGGGTTCGTACCACGACTGGACCTTCCAGTAGCGCCTACAGAACAGTGTCGAACACATCACCTTTCTTTATTGTGACTGGCAGCGCTGGCCTCCAACCTACTTGCGATGGCCTCCACCGTGCGTAGCTTCTAGTTACTAGAAAGCTTTCTTTAAGGGTATGTGGATCCCTAGCAATTGGGTGGACCTGACGTCCCGCCTCCGGGCCTGCTGCACCGCACAAGTGTGGTCTTTTAGGGACCATGCAGGCTTTCTACCATCATGGAGCTATACGAACAACCAGGAACAGCAGGTCTAACTGAGATGGTCTAACTGTTAAGAACCATCATCACATTAGTTGATCGAAACTTCCGAATTTAATGTATACCAGCTGGTTTCTGGGCACCTGTTGTCACCAGGAAGCACCTGTAGAGTCGGGTCGTCTGGGTAGTTATTATTCTTAGGGTCGTCTGGGTAGATTTAGATGGTGAACGTCCGCGGCCAAACGTCCGCGGCCGCTGAACGGACGAAAGGAAGCGCCACAAAACCGACCCCGGCCGCTGAAAAAAAGAAATGGCGGTGGATTTCAGAGGTGGGCGCCCAAACAGTAGGCGGCTCGGTCACCCAGCTGAGTGGCTTTCACCCAGCTGAGTGGCTGAAAAACTCCCACGAGTTATGGAAAAGTGGAAACCTTGAATTACTGGGTGTCCATGACATGGTGGAGGTTCGTGGGGCCAAACACGCCCCCAAATATGAGCCTGTCAGAAAATCCACTGCCGAGTTCCCCAAAGAGCAAACCCGCATCCACCATCGCTGGCGGATTCGTGTTTTTCGTCGCGCACGGTGAGTCCTTTTCGGAGTTCCAAAACTTCTCGGCATTGAATGGAAAACAATAGAGCGATAGGGGCCTGCCAGCAAACCGTCGCCTGTCCACCACAGATGCATTGAAGCAGTAGCCGTTGAGCAGTAGATTTTGCTTTGGAGAAAGTAGCATTGAACAACACAAAACAAGACCATATCCTCTCAAGAGTTCCTCTCAAAAAGCTTTGCATCTGGCTGACCGTGGATCTGCAATCCAAAAGATTGCCGGCTCCTTAAGAGTTTTTGGCCATGTCATTTGGCCCCGAACCGCTTAATGTACATGTTCGTCTCTGTGTCTGTTGCCCTATGGCCAGGCTAACCCCTCAGCAGCGGAAAACTCAATGAGGGATGAAACGCCTCAGTACGTGTCCCGCTTCCAGGCGGACAACTTGCGAGATGGAACCGCTCATCCCTCCCAATTCAACATGGAAGTGGTACATAAAGGAAAGTAGTCTTCCAATGGGGCCATGTTCCATTCTACGTGATGTGTTCGTGAAAGTGTGTGTCACACACATATATATATATATTATATAATATATATATATATATCAAAATTACACAAACATCATCAAAGATCACCTATGTTCAGTCACTGCGACCATCATGTTAGATCCCTTTCATTTAGAGGAGGAAGGCCAGTGTGTGTCAGGCTCCATTGATTCAGACCTGTCGAGTTGGGCGGTAGATGTTCCACTCACTCCACTCCCTGGCCCCTCACCCCCCACATTCACCTCGAGCTCCAACTACTAACTCCAACTACTAGCTCCCGCGTAGCTTCCGCAGCTGAAGCCTCCCTTCATTTTTAGACCCAACGGGCGTATCCCATCAACACACGAGGACTGACCAGAGGATTCGGACTTCTTTTTCGAGAGGTTGAGAGACCTGCTTTGGGACCTCTAGGGCTCTTCAACCTCTCTAGGTAGTCAGGGCCGACCTCTCAACAATGATCATCTTCTACTGGCTTCACTCAGTCACTTTATGTCACTTTCAGCTTTGCCTTTGGAGAAGGGTCTATGATGGTCTATGAGCCGGCTCGAGAACAACACCACGCAGTCGACACCACGCAGCCAGCCTTCCCCCCCCCCACCAAACGCCCGCCGAGGCGCTGGACACCACCGGCCTTCCCGGTGGGTGCCCGTCATTGGTCCGGTCACCCGGTGAGACCGGACGCGGCTCATGCTCCGGTCTGAATCGGCTCCTGCGCGGGCGCCTCCTCCGTGACGTACTCCACCGGGTGAGCCGGACCGGCCAAGACCTGGTCCGGCCCGGTCGCCGGAGCCGGACGGAACGAAGAAAACGCGGAAAAACGGAGATAGAGAAAGAAAAAGAAAAGGTGCTCGGAGCGTGAGGACCAAGTGGGGAGGGGAAAGGTCCTTAATCCTTAAGGCCTTAAGGTGTTCGATGCTTCGAACGGGTGGTGAGCAGCACAGACCAGCGGATGGATGGTTACGATGAACTGCGCAAGCATGGCTTTTGAAGTGGAAAGCGTGCTGGGAACCGCAGTTCCAGGTTTGTCGTGCTCACATCATGAACTGCGCTGCCCATCCAAAAACCACCACCTGGCAGTCATAAGCTGGACTTCTTGACTGCTGACTTGGAGAAAATTAGGCCAAGTCGACGCACCCCTCAGCTTCCCCGATTCCAAAATCATTCAAGGATCGCAAAACTCCACCAGTTTCTCACCCTGACTGCTCATCCCCGCGCTGTGCCGCCCCGTGCGCGCGGAGCAGCTGCTCGGCGGCATGCCGTTTGTGTGGCCACGCCTGTTGCACCACTTGAGCTGGCGCCTCCTCGCCTTGGAGGTCGATTCACGACTCACAGCCCTCCCGATCCTCCAAAGAGACGCACGGGGGGCGTTTCGCCCACGCCGCGAAGACGTCTTCCAAACTCACTAGAAGTCTAAATTATGTGCACCACTCAAGTAAAGGAAAGTCACAAGGAAAGTCCTTTTCGGATCACCTATAAAAGACCGCTTTGCTCGACTCCCAGGGAACCCACCTTCACCAACCTCAGCCTCAACCTGAGAAAATCGGGCAAAAAGTACGGCGAGGTGTTCAGGATAGAGATGGATAGAGTATATCTACAGAGGAGCGCCATCGAAAAAGACAAACTCTTTCGATCTCTTTCTCTGCTCTTTCTGTATTCTGTTCTCTTTATGGTGCTTATGCACATGATGACTAGTCAGCATCGAACCGACCTCCGTCTCCGCAAAAGACCACCCCACGGCGATCGAAGAGACTGAAGGGACCGACAGCTCCGGCGTTCGCCGTTGACAGATTGACCTGAACTTATATAGGTGTGTATTGGTAAAAAGAACCTGATTAAGCCTGGCAGCCTTACAGTAGAGTGATACAATGTGATAGAATATGATAGAATGGTTCATTTGGGACATAGGCCATACAAACAACGGCGGACATGGAGGATCCACGACCGGTCGCCATCGCCCACCTGTCGCCAAGGGGCGTTTGGTCTCGGTGGGCACGTGCTCTTCCCTCACACTGCCCTGGGTGGTGGAACCCACTTGAGGCACCTCCACCACCTTCTCCACCACCTATTGGCCGGTGGAGCGCGATGAGAGGCGGCCAGGCGAAAGAACCGCGTTCGGGGCGTCGGCGTTCGGGGTTCTGTAAACACCGCGTTCGGGAAGCCGATTTCGGAGGGGTTGCTTCCCCCAACTCCACCATCTGTGGAATCCAGTCTAAAAGATCCATAGAGCTAAGGGTTGTCCGGTATTCCAAGACGTTTTGAACTAAATGGTGGGCCACGACTTCGGTGATGGTGGAATTCCCAGGGCCAACGACCCGGTCCGACCCCCAGGGCCAACGACCGGTCGGCATCTGCGCCTGCACGAAGGGGATCTCGACCGTCTTCTCGATGGTCTGAACCTGACAAAGGAATGAGCTATATATATATATATATCCTCGTAGCGTCCGATCGCTGTCACGATGCCCCGGCTGTTCCGTTCGAGTCGCGAGGAATGGCCAGGAGCGCCCCCGTAGCGCCCCCGATCGCGTCCGATCGCGTCCGGTCGCTCCGAACCGAAGGAATTCCATTCCCATCTCTGCGACCCCTTCCGGTCGTCCAGATCTAGTCTCTAAGAGCCAGAAAATCGGAGACCTACCAAGAGAGGTAGCCAGTGACCTGAACTAGGACCCATCACCTGGGGTACCGAACTGGGATCGTCGAACGTTCGGGTTCTTCAACCCACCTCTGTTGGTCACCGTCGGCGGAACGTCTTGTCTCAAAAACCCGGGTCGTTGCCCCGCCTGCGGCACTGCAATCTGCTTCACCACTGGCACATCAATCACCTGGAGGCGCTGACGGCGCTGACCACGCCCGCGTCTCGCGTCTCGACGCGTCTCTCGGCAAGGCCGGCCTGGGATGGGAGGGGCGTGACAAGGGGCATGACAAAGCCTCTGCAGAAGTGAATCAATTCAAAAAAGGCTGCTGAAACTGGACCTTCAAGGAGGGTTTGAGACTGCTAGGCCTGGTTGTTGCTTGTTCAAAGTAATGACACACTTGAGGCACGTCATTTGTGGCATATTGACCTATACATGTTTGGGGCGATTTTGGTAGCGACTGGATAGATTGGATAGTTCAGTTCCTGGGATCATTCTTGGAAAGCACGGAACTGAACTATCACGGTTTCTTTTGGCGTATCTTCTGCCGGGGGGGGTGGTAGTATGCAGTGTCAGTGTCACACCTGTCGTGACCGAATCACCTGGACACGAAGTTTCGGCCACCTACCAGGGATGAAAGGGGTGTCAACCAACACCCCAAACCTGCAGTGTTCCTTCCAATCGCCACCCGAACTGGCTGGTGCTGGTTCTTAGGAATTATGTAGATGAAAGGTGCTCCAATGTACTCCACTCCACCTACAACATGTGAAGAAAAAGCTAAAACGCCGAGTCCAAACGGCTATGATGCTCCACTCCACCATGTTTGGGGGGCTTCCGTCAGATCCTGCTGCGCCTTCTCGGTGGTTTCGATGACGTTCACCTCAATGGGCTTCTCCACGGGCACTTCCACCACCACCGATCGATGCTTCTGGACGGGGATGTGGACGTGCTTGTCCATGTACCTCAGACGGTGACAAAATACACCTGGAGTCGACCCGTTCGTACCTCGGAAAATGGGTACAAAATGGTACAAGTATACTTGTTTTTATGCGGGTCATGTCCCATTTTCTAAAGTACTTTGGAGGGTCCAGGTATATTCAAAGTCGAGTTCGAGGATGTTTCCATGGCACATTCTGAACTTCAAGTGTTCAGGGAAATTACGAACTCGGCATCACCCTTTTGAGGACTTATACCCGAACGAAGTCCAGTTCGACTATATGTCTTGACCGACTGAAGTAAAGGAAAGAACACTTGACTCGGGTCACCGTTCGTCAGACCATTCTTTTTATAGTCTGACCGACTCCCAGGATATAATTAGGTCTGTCTCAAGCAGACACGAACGGCGGAAGTTCTCAGAGGTACCACGCACTGAAGGCCGCTGCAGGGTACCGAGCCATAGATTGGAAGCTACCGAGCTTGCACAGAATACAGTTGAAGCACAGAATACACTGCATCTGGAGAAGGGGAGCGGTCTTGCTTTGCGTTTAGGGGGCACTCTTTAACCAAGAAGTATATAGTCGACCCCCAGTAGGTTACATGATCCCTATAGGCTTCCAACCACCATTAGTTTAATAGGCTGAATCCCGAATCAACTAAGGATTTTACACTACAAAAACCAGGTCGTTGAATGGCCGAACGGAAGTCTAGGGTATAGGAACATGTTCCTTATGCTCAGTTGAAGACACTCCCCGGTCGCTCGGTCTCGGGCAACTGAAATCATCTCGGATGAGCCCTACCAAATGCGAAATCGCTTCATATCCTCTATCTCGATACTTAATTGTTGGGTCCTGCCATCATGAGGCCCACACTCCTATCAAAAAAGGTCCAGATCATTCCAGATCCAACCCTCCTCGCGGCGCTGATGAGGACATGGCTGATTTTGGGCCCATCATTCTTTTTTCCATCGATCTGCGCGGAGGCTTCTTGCGCAGATCCTTCGGGCCCAGTTCCGCCAAGGGGCTCCACCTGTGGGATCTCAATGATCTTCTCCACCTGAGTCACCATTGGCACGTTCACCTGCCGAGGTCCCGCTCTCGCGCGGAGACGGCGCGACGGTGGCTCGGTGGGACCCGGGGGGTTCGCAACAGGATCCCCGACTGGGACCCGGAGCCCGCCTTCCCAGTTTGAGTGATGTCCACCCTTCGAAAACATCACCAAAGGGGTCCATGTCACCGAACTTGGTGGTTCACAACCGGGGTACCCCATCTATTCAACCAACCAACTGTATCAAATTTGTATCAAGGAAAGGACTCCTGAAGCACTTGTGTTCATTTTACAAAGCCTCTATCGACAGAGCTCAGCAAAGCTCCAGTGATGGCACCATGTCCCATCCAAGAAGCCCCCCGGCAGCTGCAGAAAGAATAAAAACCGCCCTCCGCGGCGAAACCCAACATCTTCGCCCCAACCAAAATGCTTCGCACCGGCTTCCACCACAGCTCACAGGCTTCGGTGGTTCAGAAGGTCGCAGCGGCGCAGCGCCCTCGCCTGTTTGGTCACCGGCACCTGCACCACCTTGTCGACGTACTGCACTTCCGGAACCTGCACGGTCTTTTGCACCGTCGAGACCATTGGCACGTTCACCTGGCGCGCCAGGAAAACGCCGCGCGAGCCGGCACGACGACAGAGGACGCGGTGGACGGTCGTGAGACGGCAGAGACGGAAAGGAAACAAAACAGGATGCAGAGAGGCAGAGAGCAGAGACGGTCTGTATCCATGAATGCCAACAGAGGTTGAAGACATCTGTGGGCTCTCCCATAGGGTACCCCACATTCCGGGTCCTCCCTCAGGTCACCCAAAAATACCAAAAAGTAACACCTGTTGGTGTATTTTACGGATGTGTTTACCGCTGGGTCTTTTTGAAAGGTGATGTCTTCGACTTTTCCGAAGGCAGTTCCTTTTCGGCGACGCCCAGCGATGAGAGTTTTCAGAGTGGCGCCCAGCTGTGCAGTTGGCACGTGACTTGGATGACTTGACATGGAGTTTCGGCACCTGGTGTCAATTTCAGGGGGATCTGAGATCTGGGCCTTGTAATTACAGGTTTTGAAGTTTTGGAGTATGTAGGAGTCCTTCACCTGACAAATGTGGCAAAAAACGCTGTTCCGTTGCAATCAGGCAAGACCTTGCTGCAAGCGTTGCACGACGCGCTGCACGACGCGCCGCACGACGTGCTGCGCTGGCAGCCTGCTTGGCCACTGGGATCTGCATCACTTCATCCACATACTCCACCTGAGCAGCGAAGGCTTTCAAGCCCTAGTGCCTTTGGGCGGTGCACATACCAGTGACCCCAATCAATACGGCCAGTGTCAGTGGTTTTCCCTGGTGACCATGGTGGTGGTATAGTGCACCTGGTGGTGAGTTCGAGTGAAGCCAACCTCCAACATCCGACATCCGACACCCGACAGCCCGGACGGCTGCAGCCAGTGCGTTGTCTGTTAGATGCGGGGTCCGGCGTGGCCTGTGGCACCGTCCCTCCCGGCCTGTGGCACCTCAACGGACCGTTGCACCGTCTCAACGATGGGCACGTGCACCTGACGTGCCAAGTTAGGGAGCCACCCTCGTCACCTGGGATGAAACGCACAGCCACAAGTAAGGAAGACGTCTTGGATCAATAAACCCTCCATATGAAGAGGATGTTCAATTCAAAGGGGGGTTTATTAATTCAAGAGTCTACATTAAGTAAGGAACCAGCCGTTCCGTTCCGTTCGGTCTATGGATGGAGTCTTTTGGAATCACTATAGTTGCCTACGACTAAGATCCACGACCAGATCTGAGCTCTCATCAGGGTCGCAGTTCCGTTCTGCGCTTCCGCGGAAAACAGCCACCCGCTTGTCGAACATTACCATCCAAAGGTCCATTTATCGATTCTCTTTGGGTCGTGTGCGGGAGTCTGCTCCTTCCTTCAGGTGAACATGGAACCCGGAAACCCCCGGACAGGTGGTACAGGAAAAGGGCCTTCCACGGGGCAATTCTCAGGTTCCACGTGGCAACGTCGTGTGATTTCGTGTCTTTCACCTGGTGACAGTTGTTCCTCCGCAGCCGCTACACGAGCACACGGAGCCGAGCTGAACACAGGTTACCAGGCTGGCATGCTGTCGGCCACCCACATGTGCCCAAGAAAGATGAAGGAAAGCCAAACTCTGACCAGAGCTCTCTCGGCCTTTGAAGTAAGCTCTGAAAGAAGGAAGCTCAGCTCTGAAAGTTGGACGCTTTAAAGGGGAAAAGAGGAGTTGACGCACACAATGCACTGACCCAAAACACTGATCAGTCAGCCGGAATCCCCTCCCCCTGCCACCTGAAGGGACCTGGTCGAACCACATGTTTGGAGCATGGCAAGCCACGTTTCGCGCGCGGGTCCGCACCTGCTGGAAGGGAATGTGCACCTGCTTCTGAATGGGCACTTCGACCACTTGGTCATCATACTCCACCTGAGGAACCTCCACATTTCGCTGCACCTTCGTCACCAGGGGCACCTGCGCATCTGCCAGCTGTGCCACGCACGCATGCCCCCGAAAACGAGCTGCTTGGGCGCTTGGCCCTTTGGTCGGTTTGGGTCCCGAAAAGTGTCCAGCTCTGAACTGACTCCTCTGCAAGAAAGAGGAAAAGAGGCCCTCACCCCGAACTGGGCCAGATGTTGAAAATTGAATGAGGACTAGGATTCCAACCGCCAGCAATTTAACAGGCTGAATGCCAAACAACCATGAACAACCATTGTGCGACTAAGGATTTGACCTTACAAAACCACGTCAGCCAGTTATCCTTTTGAAGGCTAGGGCCAGGGTGGATGTAGCACGTATGTTCCAGGAAGGAAAGGGAAGTATGTGACATCCTCTTCCATCATCCGGCGGCTGGATCCCAACTTGAGGTTCCATGCATGAGAGGCGAACATCTACACAAGTCCTAAGCATGCCTAAATTATCCTAAACTCCTACACTTAATAAACTACACGGTTTTGCTTTCAGAACCGGTGTCTCTCTTCTTCATGTGGCCCTGACGGCGTGACTCATGGGCACCTGGACATGCTTGGCCACTGGAACCTCAACCACCTGCTCTTCGATCTCGATCTGTGGCACATCCACGACCTTCTGAACCTTCTGAATCATGGGCACCTGACAAAACGAAAACCCCATGGATTGATAGGGGCCGGGTTCGCCCCCCGGGTTGGTGGACCGCTCTCTCCCAGAGCTTGACGAACCTGAACTACCCCAGATGAAGGTCATAACGGCCGTCCATTGGGCAAGCCACATAGTCCAAACATACTCAAAGAATTTCAAAGAGCCGCTGGCTGGCTGGGGAGCCATGCAATTTGGGGGTGTGGCATGATGCAGCTGGGTCTACACTCCCCCGCCGTCCCATGAGCAAGGGTCTTTCAGGTGCATATGCTTCCCTTGCATGACATGTTCACGGAAGGTACACCCAAAGCGCGCATGCACAGCCTTCCCAATCCCACCGCCTGCACGTGCTTCTGCACCGGAACCTCGACCACTTGCTCTTCGATCTCCACTTGAGGGACATCCACAATCTTCTGGACCTTTTGAATCATTGGCACATGGACATGCTTGGCCACTGGGACCTCAACGACCTTGTCCTCGTATTCGATCTGCGGCACATCTACCATCTTCTGAACCTTCTGAATCATGGGCACCTGAACGTGCGTCTGCACGGGAACCTCCACAATCTGCTCTTCAATCTCAATTTGAGGAACGTCTACCACCTTCTGCACCTTCTGAACCATAGGTACCCGTACGTGCTTCACCGCTGGCACTTCAACAATCTGCTCCTCAATTTCGATCTGCGGCACGTGGACCATCTTCTGAACCTTTTGGATCATGGGTACTTGCACGTGCTTGTGCACAGGAACCTCGACCACCTGCTCTTCGATCTCAATCTGCGGCACTTCCACCATCTTCTGCACTTTTTGAATCATGGGCACCTGCACATTGGTGCGGACGGGCACTTCGACAACCTTCTCCTCAATCTCCACTTGCGGCACTTCCACCATCTTCTGAATCTTTTGAATCATGGGCACCTGAACGTGCTTGGCCACAGGAACTTCGACGATCTGCTCTTCGATCTCGATTTGCGGCACATCCACAATCTTCTGCACTTTCTGAATCATGGGCACACGCACGTGCTTCTGCACGGGAACTTCCACCACCTTGTCCTCATATTCGATCTGTGGCACATCCACACTCTTCTGAACCTTCTGGACCATCGGAACATGGACCTGCTTGGCCACTGGCACTTCCACGATTTGATCCTCGTATTGGAACTCTGGCACCTCCACAATCCTCTGCACCTCCAAGATTTTGCGTGCAAGTTACATACATAAACCCCAGCGACCAAGAAGAACGACCGACTACCCGTTACTACCTGTGACTACCGGCGCTTCTAAATGTGATAGCTACCTGCCAACAAATCATAACAGCACCACTTTCTGAGCTGGACGTAGTAATTACAAGGCATTTTCATGCATTTTCCTATTTTTTGGCTCATGCTCCAGGCGTGGTGTTGGTCCATTGAAATCCCATGGATTGCCCCGGCGCACCGCTGTTGATTTCGGCTGTCGTCGGCAGGCGGACCAGCGGCTGTGACCCTACACAGCACCTTCTCAATCACTGGCACGTTCACCTGCTTGGTCACGGGCACCTCCACAATCCTCGACCAAAGGCGCTTGCCATCTTCGGACGACTTCCCGGACGACTTCCCGGACGACCTTTGTCGGGGGTTTCAACCTGCGGAAACCCATGGGGAAGACCTGCGGAGGGACTCTGGTCTTACGATGACTAAACGGAGACCGATGATAGGGAGAGAGAGAGAGAGAGAAAAAAAAAAATAAAATAAAATAAAAGATGTAGTATAGAATATAATAACTATATACAAACAATATATATATATATTTAAAAAGAATAAAATAAAGAATCCTATATATATAGATGACGCAGGAGAAAAAGAAACCAGATTTGCGGCTGCCCATGTCCAACTCGTGACTCGCGGAATCTTCGGGGCCGCCTGACCCCCGAAACATCTCCCCCCAGTTTAGGGATGGATTCAGGGGGCCGAAGCGGCCCACCTTCTGCCGGAGCGATCGGGCGCGATCGGACGCGACGGGGCACTCCTGGCCGTTCCGCTACGAACGGAACCAAAGTGCATCGCGACGAACGGAGCAAGGACGCTACGGGCTGGAATCTCCGGACCATTTCGGGGCCTGTCAGCCAGGGACAGACCGCTGCATCGCCACGGACATGGGGGCTTCCATGCAATGCCTACTGGGTGCGTCGAAGTGCGCCTTGCCGAGTGAATCCGCTGATCTGGTTTGGGCATCGCACATGACGACAGATGACAGATCCCTGCTTCCCGGCCCACGATTGAAGAGCCTGAAGTCCCGAAGGACCTTTGTTGTACATCAGGACTCCCCCCAAAAGAATAAATCCAGGCATCGAATCTTCGAAGATCCTAGCCCTAGGACTCCAGTCGTACCTTCTCAGAAGGTATGACTGGACATATTTGGACCCTCTAAAGCCACCCCAAACACCTTCTTAGAAGGTACTTGGAGCCCCAGGGTAGCACTTTTCAGACATCCCTACGAGTCCAAGGACCAAGTTAAACCTTGTCCTTGACCTCCTTGAGTACTGGCTTTATATGACCATCTCCAGTAAAATGAGGTCAGCTCCTGACTTGTAGGGCAATCTCATACATCTCAGCCCCTCCTGCAACCCCCCAAAAAACACACACCGAGCCAAGACTCTGATCCTCCCACTGGATCTGTGGCACCTTGACCGTCCGCTGAACCTTCTGAATCGTGGGCACGTGGACCTGCTTGATGACTGGAACCTCCACGTGCTCGTCCACGTACTCCACTTGAGGAACTTCCACCTCCTGGTGAGGGATGGTTTGGGCACAGTAGGTGCAGCAGCAAGCTGAGTGATGGAAGTTCGCACCGCAAGCGCAAAATCGATGCGGGGGAGACAGATAGTCCGGCTCTGGAAGAGGTGGGCCAAAAGCATTTCGGTATATAGTGGTGAAAAACAAGGGTCTGAGTGGCTGCAAACCCAGAGATGGAGTGCAAGACTGCATGTGCTTGGAGAAAAGTGTTGGACATGGTTGGACATGATGTCCATCTCGGGGCCATACCGTCGTCCTCAATATCAAAGGACTTCAATCCCCGTTAAAATTAACAAGGTTGGGTTGGGGATCCCATTTAGTAAGGAATTGCCGTTACAAAATGAGTGTGCATGCATATGGGCATATGGAATTCATGACATCTGCTTAAGCATGACTATACGACTGCTTAAGGATATGGGGCAGGAAATGCGGCACTTGCAAAGCTATGCAAGTGGAACATGGCCAATGACCCCCCTCAACGTCCACAACAAATGTGATCAACGAACTGTAGTAGCTATATAATCATGATCCAGTCCCCCGACATATCAATGCCTGACATCTCAGCCCCTGTGCTCTAGCACAAGTCGTTCGCTGTTTTCGAAGCCCCAGGATCCACCGAGGGCCCATGCATCCACCGAGCCCACCAGAGGAGCAGCGGAATGTGAAGCTCTTTCCGAACTCACGCCACGGATGGCATGTCACGGCATCCGTGGCTGGCGATGATGATGGACATGTGCTTCTTGTGGCAAGCAAGGCCCATTTAAGACATTTGATGTTCAAGCCTAGTTCGTGCAAGCCGTGTAAGGCAGCCTCTTTTTGTAGACCTCATTTTCAGCTTTCATCCCTGATGAGTCTCTCTCAAAGGAGAAAAAACTCAGGGAGAACTCCCGCTGTCTTCCACGGCGGAACTTCTCCGACCTGAACGAAGCCACCCAGTTTGCGGAGAAAGACGACATCTGTCTGTCCCACATGCGAGTGGCTTAGAGTCTGCATGACTTCCCCCAGGTGTTCGGATCATGGAAAGGGGGCAAATAGTCCCTACTGTAGGGCTCCAACTAACTCCAATCCCCCCTGAGAAGGTTGATTCCACATGGATCTGCACAAAAACTTCCCACTAAGAAGTGAACCCTGCCGCCGCCCAAAAAGAAGAAACAAGAAACCGTCCTTGGTCTGCTTGACCACGGTGGGCACGTGACGGTGCTTCACCATGGGGACGTCGACCACCTCGTCCACATATTGGATCTGAGGCACTTCCACCTGTCTCTCCACCACCTTCTCCACCTGGGTGAGAAAGACCCGGCGGCTGATCTGGAGGGAGGCATCCCCCATAACTTGGGGCAGACACACCGGGCACATCCTGCGAGAGACCACGATCTATCACGGCTATCTGCCTACATCTGCCTACTCCCCCACTTAAAATTCCTTTAAAGAAATGCATGAGGACATTGGAAACGTCATGTGACATGTGTCGAAGGCAGCGCATGATAGCGGCATACCCGCATACCATGCATTAACCCCTCCCTGTCCACCAAACTGCAGTCGACCGCTCGCTCCCCTCGTTCCGCTGGGGTCCTCGCGGGGACTTGTTGCACCATGACCTTGGGCACGTGTTGCACTCGTTCCTCAGCCGGCGCGTGAAAACCGTTCGCGCGAAAAACCCGGCGAAGTGAAGAAGATGCACGCGCCATTGGTTTAAGTGGCTCTTACCATACAACATCATACAACCATCGTAACCAGTGCTGCGCGATGGATTTTAGACTACAACACCCCTGCAGGCCAACCAGTCTGAAGTGATCTTGAAAGGGCTTGTTCAACACCCTAGCCGACTTGCCTAGGGTGCTGGGGCTCGGTGCCCTTGAGGAGGCGAAGGGCGAAGAACTAAAATGGAGCCTTCACAGGTCTTCAAATAGGGAGACCGACCCGATCATATCGGAGCGCTTTTAAACACCCATCCAGGGTGGATCATGCGCTGTTCTTGGTGACCTTGGCCCAAATCGGCTCAGCCGATGAAGCTGCCTGGCGTACGGCCTCCAGCTACTCTGAGGTTGGCGCCCGAGACATACGACGCCTTCTCCGAAAGAAGGAAGGCCACGACCTCTGCAATCTCCTGCGGCTCGCCAACACGACCCATCGGAATCATCCCCAAATCCGGCTTGGTGTCCAAGAAGGGGGCAATCATGTCAGTCCGAGTGAGGCCTGGCGAGACGCTGTTGACCCGGATGCCTCGAGGAGTAAGCTCCTTCACCAGCCAGCTCTGCATATTATTCATGGCCGCCTTGGTCATCCCATACAGCCCAGTGCCAGCAAGAACCGCTGACCCGGAGGAGATATTCACAATGGCCCCCGACGTGCAGCGCAAGGCGAATTCGCGGGAAGCGATCAAGGCGCCGAAGACGTTCACATCGAAAAGTTCATGAAAGGCTTCCTTCTTTAGGACCTTCAAGGTCTCCAGTGCTCCCAAATCCGAAAAGTGCTTCATGGATCCTGCCTTGTTGATGCCAGCATTGTTCACCAGAGCTGATAGGGGCAAATCCGGCCAAGCTCGCTGCACTGCATCAAACATCTTCACAATATCTTCTTCCACCGCCATATCTGCATAGAATTCACAGGCCACCCCGCCAGCGGCCCGAATCCTGGCCACAACCTCTTCAGCGGCTTTTGCGGAGCCTTTGTAGTTCACCGCCACCGCATAACCTTCCGCGGCTAAGACCTCTGCAATGGCCGCGCCGATTCCACGCGATCCTCCCGTGACCACGGCGATGCCGCGCGTCCTTCCGCTCGACACCTGCGGTGCACACCAGAGCCGCTCCACCCGCCGCTTACAGCCCACCGATATGGCCAAGGCGGCGGCGACGCCCAGCATCCACCCATGGCGCCCACGGGGCGTCGCCGGCGCCAACCGCAGCGAGGCGCAGCGCACGGAGCAGCGCAGCGCAGCGCGGCGCGCCGGCGTCCGGTGGAACATGGGTCTCTGCGAGAGAAGGTGGCCTTGGCCTTGCCTGGGCTCAAGCCTCTGCTATGAGTGGTCTTGGGTCCAACGACGTCAGGACTGCACAATTCAGATGTGATGAGACCAACGACGTCAACGACCCAATTTCCATAAAGCACATGTGGGAAGTTCCGCCCAGGAAACCACCCCATTTCATGGGACGATCCGGATCCTCGGGCCACCTGCGTTCGGGCCACCTGCACCACGGGCTTCTTCCTCTGAACGACCTGCGGCGACCAGTCGACCCACGGAGTGGGCCATCCAGCGCCCTAGAAGCCTGGCCCGAAAAGGCCTGTGGCCCGAAAACCTTCAGGTGGGTCAACCGTCGGAATCTTGGAGCATGGTTACTGGCCATGGTTTCATCTGGCTGGCTTGAAACTCATGGAAACCACGCTTTTGGACCAAATGGATCCAAATGGTCTGAGGCTCAAGAGTCGAATTACTGCGCACTTGCGACAGGGCATCGACTTCCTCGGGGGGTGGTCTGAAGGGTCTGATCGAAGCATCCGAAAAGTAACTCTTAGCCCGCCCTAGGCTTCCAACCACCATACCTTTAATGGTCCTGAGTCCGTACCACCCTTTGTAAGTACTGAGAATGTTCCACCAGACGTAGTCTTGGACTTCCAGGGCTAGAATCATGCGCTTTCGGAGCTCTCCGAAAGCGGCCGTCCTTTGGGGTGTCCTGGCTTTCGGAGCGCCGGCACCAGGCCGCTCATGGCGGAAACCGCGCGCCACACCAAAACCGATTTGACCCACTGACAGAATTCACTGGACCCTTCAAGAAGTGGATCTTCTAGTCACTATATAGTCTATAGTCCTTCACTCTTTTGGAAGCAACGAACCGCAAAATATGACACCTCAAAACCCCGAAACCACCAACCACCGCGCCATGCACCTCCTCCCCCACACCAACCACCTCAAGCATCGACCTGCGCGCCTTGTGCACCACCGTGGGCTTCACAACCTCCACCGTCTCGATCTGATGCTGAACGATGCGATCCACCACCTGGTTAGCTCAAGCCGACTCGCAGATGCTCGCAATGTGGGCGGTTCAAACTTGTTCAATAGCGATGCCAAAGTGTGAAAACGACACCCATATGGTAGATCCCCCTTGTTGGGCCATGCGGGGCCATGCATGGCCATGCCGAATCAATTTCAGCACTTGGCCAGCCCATGAAGTACCCAGCGCGCGCTGGGCGCATGCGGGGCTGCCGCTCAATTTGCTCAGTTTGCAGCTGCGCGGCGGTGTTCACGATCTTCGGCACTCGCACGGTCCTCTCCTCCACCTGCGCCGTGTGGAACCCACACAGCACCGCCGCGGCAACGGAGACCCGCCAGATCCGTGGACGGCCGACGAATCCCATCGAATGGAGATGAGCTTAACCCCCAAAAAGGATCGGTTTCCTGTAGATATTGGTGAATGGTCAAGCAACTCCTACCAGAACATGCACCAGAACTCGCTCCCCAAATCGACAACCCTACACTATACTCATAAGTCTCTGGTTGGACACCCATGGAAAGTACTCTGCAGGTGGATTAGAGCCTCGAAATGGACATGGAGACCTTAGATCTCGGGACCCACTTGCACCATCCTGCTCCTGCACCCTCTTCACATGAAGACTTGAAATCAAGTCAACAAGTCCACCTGTTCCCACCCACACCAGCTGACAAAAGCGCTTCCCATGTCCTATATCAACCGTCTTTTTGGGTGCCCGGTGCCTCACCGGTGCCTCACCGGTGCCGCGGTGCCCCCCCCCCTCATCCTGGATCTTCGGGACTTCGATGCACTTCTCCACGACGATGGGCCGGGGCACTTCCACCTGCCGCGGCACGAGGGCGCAGCGCAGCGCGCTGAGTAGGCGGACGGCGGGCGAGCTGGAGCGGACGAGCTGGTCCGTCTGGTCTTTTGGGGGGGATGACGGTGGGGCAACTTGGAGACGATATACATGGGGGGAGATCGTTTTGAACACGCCCCCACCACCTCCTGGTCCAAATGATCCTTTGAAGATGACTGCGTGATCTCTCTGCTGTCTTTGAAGTCTTAGCGACGAACCTTGCCCCGCCAGCGGCGAAACCTGTGGAAGCTGCTTCCGAGTCCACTGGCAGCGTCCGCTACGCGGGATTACGTTGGACTACGGGCCTCACAAGTGCTACCGCCAATAAGAGAAGAAGACCGTAGAGAAACACCGGCCGCAGTCTCCCAAGCATACTAGGAAAGCGATATACTGATGGAATCGACATCGATCTAAAAATATCTAAAATGGATCTATAGTCTATAGTATCATCTATATAGGATTTCCAAGTGAAACCTCAAAAATAGAGGAAGGCCCGCACCCAAAATCTGTCATGAACGTCTCTTCTGATTTGCCATCCAACTCCACCTCCAAATCCACCGGGTTGTGGATGATGCGCTCCAACTTGCCTGGGCGACGGCGCTTCAACCAGCCCCTCCATCGACGGCGGCGGCGGTCTGTGAGATGGCTCTCCGATCGCAAAAATGGGCCCATGCTCCAACAAACTGAGCTCATACCGTGCTAGTAGATGCAAACATAAATCATCCCTGGAAGTCCAAAACCATTGAAAGAATGGTCTTTCGGTTACCCGAGTCAAGGGTTCTTTCCTTTATTTCAGTGGTGCAAGATATCGTCGAACTGGACTCCTAGGCTCATGTTTTGTGTCTGCACATGTCAAACAATACATATTTCCAGCTGATGACAGGAGACCTTGACCTACAAGGGGTTTCCAATGGAGGTCCCTTGACCCCTTTGAAGGTGCTGGGAGTTTCAAAGGGACCCATACGCGTGGTGGAACTGCCTTGGATCAGCACTGCCTTGGGACCTGAACCGGACCGGAGTCTTCGTCATGCTAGGGACTGCTGAAAACGTGACCGAACAAAGCGCCCGCGGGTCAAAGAGACGGTGGAGTGTTGATCAAAAGTAGACCCCAGTTGATCCAAAAACAAAGCGAAGAGACGTGAATCTCTCAAAGAGATTCTGAGATGGCATGGAGGACCCCCCCAAGACTCAAAGACTCAAAGACTGGGCACGTCACGGCACGTCCGGCACGACTGAAACATATGCCGAATGACTGACCACAGGCACGTGCACCACAGTCTCCACCTGCTGCTGGACGGGAACGTCCACGACCTCCTCCACATGGAAGTGGTGCTGCCGCTCCTGCTCCACGACCTTCGGCACATGCACCACCTTCCTGAGAGCGAACGGACAGGCCCTAAGACAGTGACGCGTCCGACGGGTTGATGGGTTTTGTGACGGGTTCAGGGCGGAGCAAGAAGGACCGAAAAAGTCATCGAGCTTCCGATAGAAACGGGGTGAGTGGAGAAAACATTGACTTAATTACTGGCATGCACTCTTCAGTGAGGATCAACTGGCCCAGATTCATGGACTATCATTAGGGCCTTCCTGCTGATGGACCACTTCTCCAGCACAACAAAAGAACTCCTTGCTCACATCGTGACCCAAAACACCTGGTGGCCATTTCTGTCCTCCCCGAAGTCTCCGTCTTCGACCCCTTGGGTGTCTCCGCCCACCATCGGACCCCGAACGCGCTGAGCTGCTCTTCGGTCATCGGAACCGGCACCTCCACCGTCTCCTGGGGCGCCGGTGGTGAGGCGATGGCACTGGAGGTGAGGTGATTCTCGGAGCAGGTGGAAAAGAGTAGATCTCGGAGCAGGGACGAAATCCTTAGTACAAGCCTGGTTGTTCATGATTCAGGCCAATTCAGGCTTCTGTGAATCAAGTTTGGTTGGAATCCTGGGGCGGCGTTTCCAGCGCCAGCAACAGTGGATGCATCCTGCAACTCCGCCCCAACGTAAGTCCAGTTGGACGAGTAGAAAACCGAAGTGAAGGAAGTTCCTTGTCGGGCCGGGTCAGACCATGACTACAAGATACTACAAGCTAGTCTTGTGGCCTCCGGGACGTCCTCCTGGGAGGTATGTGTTTCTTCCAGCTTTCGGGACAGGTGAAGAAACCCCCGTGTTTTTCACCAGAAAGGCCTCTGTCGACAACAAATCCCAGTCTCAAATAGTCTCAATAGGCTGACGGAGTTCCGCCGAGGGAGAATTCCTCATGTTATATTCCTAATTTCCCTAGTCCACTGATCTACCAGATCAACCGACCGCTTATCTTCCATTTTCCGTGACGCCCACCGATCCGCCACTCGGGTCCGTCCTCCACTTGTTCATGGGACACACGCTCCTGCTGGATGACCTGAACGAAAGCACGCACGACGGTGCCGGCTGGCGCCGTTCGAAGACATTCATCCCCCCGGCCGAGGACGGAGGTTTTTGGAGCCAAGCGAAAACCAAAGAATGGGGTCTTCAGCTACCTGGACCATCCTGTCTCTGTGTCCTGTCTGGACATGGTCTGATGTTCTCTAGATCTCGCCACCGTCATTCCTGACGGCTCACTCAGTCCATTCAGCTCGCACCAAAGATTCACCGCTGTCTTTACGGGCATCCCAGGGCACGGAAGTCCTAAAAAAAACTGGGAATCAAAAGGAACAGCCAAAAGTCCACAAGCGAATGCCCTGGAATTCCAAGACCATTTGTTCATATTTGTTCAATGGTTGCCCTGGTGGTTTTGAATAGGTACAAGTGGGATGGTCAGGTGGTAAAGGGGTCTATAGTTATATAATGCAAACTCGTGATTGATGGGCACAACCCATCAGAAGGGGTTCTACAATGCAAATGAGGGTGCCCTTTACTGATCAAGAGTCTACATTAAAGCTTGTCCTGCTGTTGCTTTTCTGATTGCAGCCTGTGGAATGAACAAAGGCTTCCCATCAGTCTGGCTGCTGAGGATCACAGGGCCAAGTCTGTGCACTTCATGTCAATGTGTCTTGATTGTGGACTCATTCAGAACACATACCCGATTCGGCTGGTCACGGTGAGCGAGGACAGCCAAAATAGGTGGGGAATGGGATGTTCCATCTGCTACCAGGAAAATGGACTTCCTTCTCCCCGATGCCCGCCACGCGGCAGTGGGCACGTGCACGACCTCCTCTTGGGTCATGGGCACTGGCACTTCCACGGTTTGCTCCACCTGCTCGTGCCTGCAAACGATCCCACTGATAGGCTTCCGACCACCATTGAGTTGAGAGCCTGATTCCCGAACAACCATTGTTGTACTATGATTTACCCGACAAAACCAGGTCAACCTCCCTTTTAATGGTCTTGGAAGGCTAGCGGCTAGCGTGATGAAGGTCTAGACCATGTGGAATCCGAAGTCCTTCGAGTTCCTCCCGCTCCTACGTGGCTGTCAAAACGTCTCGATTCCCTCATGATTCAATCCCAAACACTCCATGGACTGCCATATTTGCGCCATATGGGCCGATCAGCCCAGGGGTTCGGGGGACCAATGGGCCATGGGGGGCCAAACAAGGCCAGTCCCATGGATGGTCTGGAAATGCTACTCAGGTTCTTGCTAGAAACCCTTCTGACCAGAAAGCGGGTTTCTCCATGGCAAGTCCCCTCAGGAAGGTTCAAACCAAGAACCACATCGACAACAAAGGAGCGCTGTGAAAATCTCAGGTCCATCAATGTTTTCCACTGTCCAGGTTGCTCACGAAAGCCCAAAAGCAACTAAAAAAAGGTCAAAAGTACACCTCTCAAAAAAACGACGTCTCCACGGAATCCCCAGTTCCACTTTCACCCGTTCTCTCCGTCTTCACGCCTCACCCGTGTTTGCGTCACCACCTTGGGCACATGGACCACCTCTTCCTGCGTCATGGGCACCGGTACCTCCACCGTTTGAACGCCGCCGCCCTCCACGGGCTCCGCCGGTGCCAGGTCCGGCGCCGCGCCGCAGCGCCCGGCGGCCACCGCGGGGGGAGCACCCGCGACGGCGCCCGCGCGGGCGGCCGCGGCGCTGGGGGGGGAGATGCACTGGAACCTCCACGAGCCTTGGGGCGGTGAGCTCTTGAAACTGGAAACGCTGATGCAATGGACATCAACAAAGGCTAAATCAAGATGTACGGTATATATACGATATACGTATCTAAGGTTTAGAGTTCGGATTTGACCTGGAAATGCTGATGCAATGAATGAAGGCCGAATCAGCTATCGATGCGCTCGTAAGAAAAATCCTAGCCTTCAGTTCGACCATTGAACGAATGCTTGACCTGGCTTTTTTGTCTCAAATTCTTGTAGCAATGGCCCTTTGATGCTCTTCCAGAAAGACCATATCGAATTGCTCTTTTGGAATCCCCTAAAACTATGGCAGCGTGGTTTTTTAAGTCCTTCATCTTGGCGCCGGCCCCCTCCACCTGAAAGCCCCCCAAAAAGCCCGCCATTCGAGCAAGAGGCTGCTCCACGTGCTGATGTCGAACGCGGGTCTGCGTCACCACCTTGGGAATGTGCACCACTTCCTCCTCGGTCATGTGGATTGGGATCTCCACGCTCTGCTCCACCTGCCTCGGATCGCTCCAGCATCCAGCATCGCACGAAGCATCGTGGGGTAGCGAAGTCCAGTTCGAGTACGAGAGCAGGTTTAAAATAGTCTTTACCAGGAGTGGTGTTTAGTCCCATCCAGTGAGTGGAGTAGCTGGGCACCCCTAACCTCCATTAAGCACCCCGACATGTGACTGCTGATAGATGTCTTTAGGTGATCCGAGTTCAGGCATTTCCTTTGCTTTAGGTGTTGCCCAACGTACTGGACCTCTTAGACATCCCGGATGGCATCCCAAGCGGCATCCTCTTCTTTTCCTTGGGTCACTGGACCTTTAAAGCCCCGTGGAACATCCATGACGATCCAGATCGCCGTTCCCACCGGCCACACGCTTGACGGATCGCCCACATGACCAGAGGGGCCACCTGGGTGGGAGAAACCCCCTCGCCCCCAATGGGATCGCCGACATGCCCCATGCCCATCGCACCATCTGATCGCTCCGTCTTGGCCGCTCCGACATCACTGACCTGGCGGAGCCACCTGGTCATCCTTTTTCCACCGGGGCCGGTCAGTCCCGAGGCCCACCCCCCCCAAAGAAGGCTTTTACAGGGCGATCCCCAGGGTAGCATGAGCACATGACCTTCTGGGTAACCGGTGCGAGACGAGGTGGCGACTGGTCGCGGCGGCAGGACGCGGCAGCCGAGGTGCTGATGTCGAACCCTGGTTTGTGTCACAGTCTTTGGGACATGGACCACCTCCTCTTCGGTCATGGGGATGGGAATTTCCACGCTTTGCTCCACCTGTTGGTGCGTGATCCGGGTTTGAGTCACGGTCTTGGGCACGTGCACCACCTCTTCTTCAGTCATGTGGATCGGGATCTCCACCGTCTGTTCCACCTGCTGCTGGGAGACCCGGGTGCGTGTCACGGTCTTGGGCACATGCACCACCTCCTCTTCTTGCATGTGAACTGGAATTTCCACCTGCTGCTCAACCTGCTGGTGCTTGATCCGTGTCTGTGTCACAGTCTTTGGCACATGCACCACCTCTTCTTCGGTCATGTGGATCGGAATCTCAACCTCCTGCTCCACTTGTTGATGTCTGATCCTGGTTTGGGTCACGGTCTTCGGCACGTGCACCACCTCTTCTTCAGTCATGTGGATCGGAATCTCAACCTCTTGCTCCACTTGTTGGTGCCTCACCCGCGTCTGCGTGATCGTCTTGGGCACATGCACCACCTCTTCCTCTTGCATCGGCACTGGAACCTCAACCTGTTGCTCCACCTGTTGGTGGGTCACACTGGTCTGGACCACGGTCTTGGGCACATGCACCACCTCTTCTTCAGTCATTGGGACTGGCACCTCGACCGTCTGCTCCACCTGCCAACCATGGTTCTTCACATGTCTTTAGAGGGGTCAATCAAGTGTCAATATACAGGGGTCAATATACAGGGGTCTTAGATTGAACAATGCAAAAAAAAAAAAAACTGCTCGACTCCAGGCGCTCAATGATTCACAATGGACAAGGGGAGGGTGTGCCTTGGGTATGTTCCCACAAGCTGAGACTCTAGAGTCCGAGGCTTCAGGATTCAAAGGGAGGAGTTCCTCCTTCAGCACAAGACTCAATGAGCGGTCGAAACGTCGCGCGCGCGTTTGCCAGCTCGAAGTGCCTGCATAGTTTGTTATTTGATGTCCTTGCGATCTTGAAGGAAAAATATCCCCTATAGAAGTCCAAAGACTATTTTTTGACCGGCTGAAGTAAAGGAAGTTCCCTGTCAGCTCCTCTAGTCAGACCATTCTTTTGATCGTCTTGCACTCCCAGAATCTCCCAAACATCGACCCGGGGGACCACCATCGACCCGTGAGCTTCAGCTTTCGGGGTGCACGCCCGACATGTGGGGCCCGAAAACGACACGCACCACGGTGGAGGGATCCAAAAAGCCCGGACAACGTGGCCTGGATAAGTGTAGCATGGCATGGCATGGTACAGCTGGGGAGCACCGGTTTTTGTTGGATTGGCGGGCGAAAAGCATCCCAATGGCATCCAAGAGCCTATATAATTGAGGGGGGGTAGAGCTGACGAGTTCATGTGGTCCTTCACAACGATCACAGCCCCGACCTGCTGATGCTTCAACCGAGTTTGGGTCACGGTCTTCGGCACGTGCACGACCTCTTCCTCCTTAGCGGCAGGTCTCGGGGACGAAGACGAAGCCGAGAAGACCAACCTGGGTGGCCATGTTCCACAGACGACCCGTTTCAGTCGACCGAAGACCATCTGGAATCCACTCGTTCGCGATCACGGCATGGTGAGTGGCCCATGGTGGCCCATGGTGGCCCAGGGCTTCCTCTTCCTCTACGAAGGCTGGAAGTCTCCAGCCTAAGCTGGAAGGCTCTTTGTTCCAGGTTCACAACTGGGGGGGGAGGGTCGCTTGTTGAGCTGATAGTGTGCAAATGCTTAAGTAACAGCTCGGTTCTTCGGGAAGAACGGACCCATGACATCCATGGTGCTTTCGCCGGGTCCCTTCGTGGACATGCATGAAAACTCCAAAGCATTCCAACGATGCATCTAAAAACACCAGAAATAAACGTCCACCCATCCACCCACCCACCCTATACCCCAAACAACTGGACAGAAAAAAAGAAAAGTTCCAATTCCGGAACACCTTTCAGTCCCATGTGATGTGAGCTGATGTGAGCAGTTCGCAGTTCCCCCGAAAATCCTCCCATCATCGGCACCCAATCATGGAACCGCATGGAACTGCTGGAGCTTCACCGTGTTTTGTGGTGCCGACGCCACTTCCCGGGACGCCGACGTCGTTGCGACAAGTGTCCTGCATGGGTACTGGGATCTCAACCTCTTCCACCACCTGCTGTTGTTGCACACGAGTTTGCGTGATGATCTTGGGCACGTGCACCACTTCCTCCTGCACGAGCCGGAGCCGGCCGGCACACACTCTCTCTCTCCCTCCCTCTCTCTCTCTCTCTCTTTCACACGCTGTCACGCGCTTTCACGCGCTTTTTCAGCTGGATGCCTCTTCCGTCCCTTCGAAGGGCGTCCGATGATCTGCCAACTGGCCGCATGGACATGTCAATATGATCTGCTTAGGACCCGCCAACTGCCTGCCAACCAGAAACTTTGGCCTGCAAAAGTGAGAGACTTGCCACAAGTCTTTAACTACCAACGAATGATCGTATCGTATATACAGTCGTATATATATATATACACACACGTATCACAGCATCCAAGTCTCGCAGCCGAGACTAAAGGGGCTTTTGACTTAGGTGTCGGAAGGTGTGAACACCCTTGTGACCAAAGGGTGCAGACCACTTCCATGGCTGTTTCCCAAAGTTGACTGGATTAACTCTAGATTTCAGCTGCTGGCTGCTGCCTTATGTTTCTCTGCACGCATTACCTCTGTTGTTTCTTGGGCAACGGCTACGGCCAAATTGAACTCTACTGGACAGATCCTTCCTCTAAACACTTGCACTGCGCAACTCTTTGTCAGGTGGGGTCAGGGAAGAGGGTACAAAAAGGGCCAGTAGAAGTTCAGTGAAACAGCCGGCGTTTCCTAAATCAATCATTAAGTAGCCCTAGGAAACTGATTGCTGGGATACTGATCACCTGGTGCCTTCAGTATACCATGGTGAGATTCCTTGGAGACGAAGTGAGACCCCCGGCTGCATCCCCGGCTACGACCCCTGGCGACGGATGTCTCGAACTGGACGTCTCGTCCGGGCTTCCATGCCACAGGGACTAAGCACAGCAACTAAGCTCAAATCCCACAAAAACCGCCGATGTCCTCACTTCAGAGTGTTTTGATCACTTGCCAGGAGTTACGGTTACTATAATTAATATATATATATAATTATATATATATGTGTTTTTTTTATTATATTAATTATATTATGTACCCACTCTGAGTTCTGTCCTGTGTCATGGGCACTGGCACCTCCACCAATTGCTCCACGTGTTGCTGTTGCATTCGGGTTCGGGTGATGACCTTTGGCACGTGAACCACTTCCTGCCGTTGACAGACGGGCTCAGCCACCGGTCGTGCCGAAACCCTGGTTGACCCGGGGGTTTAAGTGAACTGGTTCCTCGATCTATGGATGTCAACTTGACAACCCATGGTTTGTAGGGTGAGGTTTCGACCCACTGCCATTATATATATGAGCCTTCAAGGTTTCACGTTTTCACCCTCCCTATCGACCAAAAGTGGCCTGAGCTGAGTAGATGGCGAGCAGTTTTTCACCCTGTGGATCTTCCATTCCGCTTGCTCAAAGGCCACGCTTTCTGGCCACGCTTTCTCGTTCTCGGCGCGTGGCGCGTGGCCCGCTCCTCCTCCCTCATGGGGACCGGCACCTCCACGATTTGCTCCACCTGCTGGTGCTGCACACGCACCTGGGTGATGATCTCCGGCACCTCCACGACCTCCGCCAGCGACCGAGGTCGACTCGACTCGCGCGCGGTCCCACGCGGAGAGCAGGGGAACGGAGGTGACGTGGGCGTCTTCCACATGACGACGTGGGGAGAAGGGTTAAGAGTTGACCATCCACCACCCTGAGTTGAGGAGAAGGGTTAAGGGTGAAGGGTTAAGAGTTGGGGAGAAGGTTTCAGTTCCCAACACCTGAGTTGACCAAGAGCTGAATTCCCATCCACCACCCTTCGACTCACCCTTCCACTCATCGAATTCCGAACACCTGAACGTGGCCCGTCCTCTCGGTCTCGCGTTTTCACCCCCAAATGGCCTCCTCCTGCGTCATGGGAATGGGAACCTCTTGGAGCTGCTCCACCGGTTGTTGGAACCTCCGGGTTTGCTGCACCGTCACCGGCACGTGCACAATCTCTTCCACCACCTGAGAGGTGGCGACCGCGGGAGCGCGTGCTGCCCCGGGATCGCGCGTGCCGTCACACCGGTGCCCAACCTCTTGGATGTTTCAGGAATGTACCGGAGCAAATCACTAGCTCAGTAGCCTAGTAAGCCCTAAGCCTATCTGCCAGGTTCCCATCTACACCTAGTCTCTGCCAGCTGGGGCGTTCCCTCGTGTTTCTGGGCGTTCGCTCCGGCGCCACGGCAGCGAAGAGCCCAGGGATTCGTGACACGGTGACACGCCTAGTGACCTCAAACCAACAGAGGTAGCCAGTGACCTGACAACCCTGGGGCACCGAACTAGGATGGTCGAACGCTCGGGTTCTGACCCACCGAATGCTGGAACTTACATATCTGACATGACATCCTGGCAGCTGCCACCCCCCGCACCTGTGGGATAGGAATGTCCACCACTTGCTCCACTGTGCGCTGCTGAACGCGCTTCTGTTCCACGATCTTGGGCACATGAACCACCTGGTCTTCGTGCGTCGTCTTCGTGCGCCGTGCGATGGCCTGCATTGTGAGATGTTGGAACATGTCAAGGATCTGTCCCGATGAGGGGCCGTCTCTTGAAGGTCCGTTGGACGTATCCCGGAACACGGGTTCACATTTAACAGACATATCTATATTTATATATATATATGTACATACCTGGATGTTGGGTCCCAATCGAAAGCAAACTAAACCAAGCCATAATGTCAAATGAACCCTCTGCATCTTCCACGGAGGGCGACGCCCCCACAGTCGACCCGGAAAAACTGAAACAAAACAAGGCCCAGGCCGTCCCCAGGTGGTTCAGGTCAAGAAGCCTGTTCTCGCACCACCTCGATTTCTTGAGTCTGAACCTCAGCCGTTTCAAACGCTCCGCTTCGCGCACGGAAGAACGATCAGAGTTCCAAGGGCTGGCTGTCGTAGAGCCATGAAAGAGAGGGAGAAAGTGCAGTTACACTTGGGCTGCCAAGGAACTTTTAAGACTATTATAGACCGTAGCGTTATTAAAGTACCCTGTATTGATTAGTCGGCAGGTCTAGAGTCTATAGTGCATGGGTGTCTATCCTGCGTAGCTAAATTCTATAATCTATATAAGACTTCTTGCATTCTGAGTAGCAAGAAGCTACGGGTAACAAGTGCATCGCGAATCCCCACTAGTAACAGTTAAGTGAATTACTACTAGTAGCCAGAAGCTACTATGGCTGGATTCCAAGGCCAACCTGCCCACCGTTGGGCATTGGTGGTCACCGGTGTATTTTGGACTGCCCACCCAGCACAAGCCCGACACGCTCCGCGAGCTTGACCAACCCCGGCTCATGCTATGGGTAAGCTGGGCCAGTTGCGGCTTAAGCTGCGCCAAGGCGCTTGTGGGACCTCGATGATCTTGTTCACCACTTGCACTTCTGGCACCTCCTGTTCTTCCACCACTTCCTGGACAGTGGGGATCTCCACCACCTTTTGGATCAGCTGACCTGCGGTGCGAAAAGGATCAGCGGACCTGATCTGGGGTTGAAGACGTCGAGCGCCCAAACAGAAGAGGAATTCTAACAATCAAATAGCATACGTTAGCAGACCCTCTAGGTTCCAGATCCCCCTCATCCTCTGACTGTCTCACGACGTCGCTTGAACCCCAAAACCCAAGGCCTGCCACGATCTCCTGCTGCCGCTGCACCGTGACCTGTGCAGGAGCGTCCACCTCGCTGTTGACGCCTGCAATGTACCTTGGGCGTCCACTGCGCTGTTTCCGAGACGGCGCGGTGCTTCTTCGCCGTCTCGCGCGAGGTCTGTCTGACGCGGCAAAAGCAACGCGTCGGTCGCCGGCTCATGGCAAGATCATGCAAGCAAACACGTGTCTACGCCACCATCCAACTCAGCATCTGGGATCCTCCACAATCGCTGTATCAGGGTAGGAACTGAAAACTCCTCTGGACCACATGTTGATCTTCCCTGGCCATCCAACTCAGCTCCTTTTCGCCGCAGCTTGACAGCTTGGGACCAAGATCAACCAAACCAAGATCAACCAAGGCAGGCCTCCCCAGGCAGATCTGCGGGTCGCAAATGAAGATTTACAAGATCAAGGAGACCAAAGGGTTCCACGTGAAGACTTCCAGAGTCCCACGGACGCAACCCACGGACAAAACAAACAAACAGTCTTGCTCAGATGAACAGTTCCCTAGGCTTCCAACAACTATTAATTTAATAGGCTTTACCGAATTCTGTAGGGATTTTACACTACAAAAACGTCTAGGGAGTCTTGCTCAGATGAACAGTTACTCTTGTTCAGAGAGGCCATCTGGGAGTAAGTCTCTACATGATCCAGGACTTCCAGAGCCTTCCAGAGCCCCATAGTGTCCCCAAGGTCGGGGCCCAGAACATGGAGATCCCACCGACTCGCGACACGATGCCCAGAAATGCCCAGAACACATCCCAGAACTGAAAGTCTTGGTCTTTGAACACAAACTCCCTATATAGGTATCCGGAGTGGATGGATCAAGCATGCAAATCCCATCCGGGCAATTCTACACACCATTTCTGGGTGACTTTCACTTCTCGCCGCCAAGGTGCTCGGCCTCCCCCTGCGCGCGCACCGACTGGACCAGTGGGCGGTGCTCACCCGCCAGGAAGGCCTCGTCCAACGTTCGGGCAGTAGGCTGAGACCCTCTTAGACAAGAAGGAAAGCTGCAAAACCCCAGTGGCCTTGCAAGACCTCCCCCGCGTTTGCGCCGGTGGGCGAAGGCCGGGGGAGTGGCAGTGGGCGTTTCGACCAGCCTCTTAAACAACAGCTTGGCTTCAAACCGGTGGATGCCCCTCCCTATGTGTCATACAAGCCCCCACAACAATGCCTGCGAAACCTCCCCCCCGTTGGCTCACCCGGCCACACGGGCAGTGGCCGTCCTTTTCCGGGGGGCCGGTGTCCCGAAGAAAGGCCGGAAAGGCGGCACCTTCTCGGCGTCCTTCACGCTATCCACGTTGATCTTAACCTGTGTGGTACTTCCTGAGCTGAAGGAATGTTCACTGCGTGGGGGGTGGTCCTGGAAGAGGAAGCCTATGGAAGCCCTACTAGTATGAAGGACAACGGTTTCAAGCTCACGGAATTGATCTTCTGGCGCTTTTGCCGTTGAGCATGTGTTCACCCTTCTAGCACCAAAGAGGGAGAGCCTTGATGAATCCTTTCTGGCTGCAGAGCGCAAAGGAAATCAGAAACCACTTGGAACGGACCCCCTAAAGGATCAATTTATATAGAAGTTTAGGGAGTGTGTCCTTCTTTCGCCAGTGGGTTTCAACGGTTGGCAGCCAACCAGCCCCTTGGAGGGCCTGCTCCCTGCTACAGACTGTACTTCACTTTCGTCAATCCCATTTGCCTTGCGAGACCTGGTTTTGTAGTGTAACACGTACTAAGTTCTAAGTAAAACAATGTAATGGTGGGCCAGGACTTACCATATCACCTACATTCACCTACCATCCTTGAAAACCTCGGCACCAGTCCCCACCTGAGGTGGTCGTGGTCGCAGTTTTTGGCGCGTCCCACCGGTTCTACAAACCCCGCGATTCCAACCACCATCTTTTGAATCATCTTCACCCGTCTTCACTACCCCGCTGCGACTACCATGGTTCGACTACGAAACCCAGGTCAACCCTTTGGAAGTCCTTGGAGGGCAGCCCCTCATTTTTGGAGCCGCCCAGGCAGCCCGCCCAGCCGTGCCAGGCGGCCCCTCATGGTCTGCAAGGGCTGTGGCTTCGGCTGCAGCGCCAAGGTGTTGGTCGTCACCGGCGTGGGCTCGCCCGTCGTCGTGAGCGTTGCATCCATGGGCTCAGCGACGGCGGTGACCACTGTCTCGGTGGTGCCTTCCTTGGGGCGGTTCGGTGGGAACTCCTTCCAAGTACCAGGAGACCTTATAGGACCCGTCACCTGGGGTGGGACCAGGGAGGTCCAGGGATTGGTCCATCCGAATTTCAGGGATGGCTCCAAAGGGAAACAGCACTTGAGGATGGCTTTTGCAGCTGTAGTTCCAGGATCTTCCACAAGGATGGAAAGAGAACTACTGTGCATATATTTCTTTAAAATGTTCTTATATACATCTTACTAACATCAAATGCTTCAAAAGTGTCACTTCAAGAGCCCCATCCAAGCTTCATGTGCTACCAGCTGCGGTGCAGCTGGGGCCGCATAGGTCACGGGTGGCATCTGCGCATAGATCGGCGCCTCGGGCGGCTTTGGAAGCCGACCCTCCGACGACTCCTGGACCCTCCGACCGGTGTCCTGGCTAAGACTACCCTGCCACGTCTCGACACCGATCTCCGGGTGGACCAAACGGATGGAACACGGGTGTCGGAGGACCGCGGTCTGAAACCATCGAACTCGCCGAAACGTCGCACTGAAAAACGAAAGAAAACGAGGTCTGGTGTTTTCGACCTGAAAAATCTGAGTCAGAGGGTTGAAAATAAACATATCTGAAACCATCACCTAGTGGTGTTTGGGGTAGCAACACCATCCGTGGCAAAACCAGGGTCGGTCCTTCTCCCTCCTTCGCCCTCCGCCCTGGCCTGGGTGACAGGTGCGGCATAGGTCACTGGTGCACTCTGGGCCACAGGTGCCGCATATGTCACGGGTGGCTCCTGTGTAGTGGCGGCCGTGTATGGCACGGACTGCATGGGAGCCGCATAGGTCACAGGAGGCGCCTGCATGGTGGGTGCTGCATATGTCACGCCTGGTGCTGGCATGGGAGCACCGTAGGTGGGTGGCATGGTGGTCGGCTCCACAATGTATCCACCTCCAGGCATAGCACCTGAGTCGGCAACACACTTGCCCAACTTGGCGAGCTTGTTTCTGCTGAAGCCATGGTCGTTCCAAACCACTCTGCACCAACACCACTGTAGAGCCTTTGCGGCTGCTACATGATCTACTGGCTCTTCCCCCCGCACCTCCGTCCCGGCCTGGAGCCCCATAGGTCATGGTGCCCGGCGCCATGGTGGTCGGGATCGGCGCACTGGGCGCGCGCATGGCCGCGGCAAACTCCTCCCTGGAGATCTGGCCATCCTGATTCTGGTCCATCATGCCAAACCTTAGCAGCGCACGACGAGGTGGTTGTTGCTTTTCCCTCTTTGCGGCCTGATGGAGATGTGCATGGGCTTCTGCGCCGCCGCCGGGCTGCCAAATTTCAGGTGAAAAAACGGGGAATGGGGAATGGGGTGAGAAGAACATCTGAGAAAATTGAAGATGACTACTTGCTGTCCATCCTGTCAGAGTTGAAGATGCAACTCTAAGGCGAAATGCTGCTGTTGGAAGGTGCTGTATACCTGGTCCGACTCGTGCCTGGTGCCTGGCATCCGTCGACTCCTCGCGTGATTCCGCGCCCGTTCTCCACGCCCCGTGCAGTTCGGCCACATGAACTCCTCCCTCGAGACCACACCATCCCGGTTCGCATCCATCTGCTCAAAGGACGCCATTAGTGAGAGCCGACAGCGACGGTCCCCCGATCAAAAAAGAAGGCGGGGTGAAAGCGAGGTGAAATGGCCTGGGCCGAAAAGGGCTAGCCAACGAGCAGAGAAGGGGCAAACATCCGAATCGGAGGCCCAGACAGCGTGGCCGGCCTCGCCGTCGCCGCGTCCGTCACCGCCCAAATCCGAAAAGACTGAGTGAGAACTGAAAACCTGTTCATGACTTGCGTGCTATAGCTGTCAAAGGTACACCCGTGTATAGCGTCTGAAGAATTTGTATAACTGTCTGTCTATCCTCAGTTCTGGAAGGGAGCTGCAGGTTGGCAAGTATTGACCACCGACCACCAGTTTTGGTTGAAGCTTCCACTGATCCCTGACAGGTTAGTGATCAAATGCGCCACGCCCTATGTTCATGTCACTCACGCAAGCTTGTGCAAGCTTGCCTTTGACCCTGTTTTCTTGTACTCCTCACCCTCTTCGGAGCACCAGGGAAACAGGAAGTCTTCCAGCGATCCCACGACCTCTGAACAAACGGCACATCCCACGGTCAAAAGGGGCCTGTTCAAATGATCCACCACTTGGAAGGTGCAGCGCTTCTTCATCTTCGCCACCACCGTGAACTGGCGGCGAACCGGCGAACCGGCAGCGAAGCCACGAGACTTGGCTTCGCTCGACTGGGAAGGCGTCCAGTGTGGCGCCAGGGAAAGAACGCGAGTTCCTGGTTAGGCTCTTGGTGGCCTGAACAGCCTGAACAGTCACGAAATATGATGAAATGTGCTACATGGTGCATGCATCTAAACACATAGAGAGAGAGAGAGGGAGAAGGGAGAAAGAGAGAAGGATTGCAGGAAGAAGCTAGTAGAAAAATGCTCACTGCCCCTTGCAACTCCAAGTGATCAAATGCTTAGTACGGCTACAGTCTACCTACAATAGAGAATACGAGCGGCGCGGAACGGCGCGATCGAGAACAGCGGTCGGCCGGCCTCCAAGGGCACGAAGGTGGAGGGGACCTCGATGGACCAAGGGTCCAACCTGCACGACCGAGTCACCCAGTGAGAAAACATCGACCGAGTGTCGGAGCGCCGGAGCCGCACAGGAACTGACCTGATCCTCATGAAATCACTGGAGTGGATCACACCCAAAAAGCACGACTCTGACTTCTTTACGGAGCTCAAAGACCAGGCTTGGACCTGGGTCAAGCGACTTGTGGGGATCGTTAGTAGACCTTCTTCCCCTGCACCCAGGTACCCAGCGTTGCGTCTTTCGACCTCCGATGAACGAATGAAACCACAACTGATTGTTACATGATCCATGGAACATGTCACGTTGAAGATAGGGGGCGTTTGGCGCTCTCTCTCTCTCGTGCGTTTCGATCATGTTCGTCTCCTCGATCTTTTCCTCCTCTCCCTGTCCATTCCTTTCCTCCTCCACACCGGGACAAACAGCCCGTCCCGCGAGTCGTCTCTTCAGCGCAGCACAGTGCCTGTCGTAGGTGCCTTTCGGGTCGCAGCGCAGCTCAAACCTTCCTGGGTGAAGCACCTGGAGAGGCGCGGACAGCGGGCCACGGGGAGGCCGCCCAGGCCCTCTATCCATAAGGCATAAGGCTAAGGTCTACAAGTCTTGTTTGCCGGGTGTCACAACAATCATAAGGATTCATAAGGAACTTCCTCTATGGATCCAGCTCCTCACGAAAATACCTTCAAGTATCTTGAAGCCCTTTCTATTCAATTCCCTTTCACGTCCTTTCGCTGGCCTTCTGGCATTCTTTCCAGAGCGAGCTGGGGCTCGTTCAGTCGTTCGATTCGTTCCGGGGTCGTTCACATCGGGTGGCCACCACCCGATAGAAGTGTCCAGCCTTTGGGCCGTGCAATCCGAAGAATCTCATAAGAAGCCCCGGGCGTCTCCCATTTTAAGTACACACCCCCAAGTGTGTGTCTCGGAGCTCGGAGCTCCCTCCTTTCCGTTCGCCTCCTGCGAGCGACCCTCGGCATCTGTGGAGAAGAGGATCTCCTGGAGGCATCTTGCTCGGCGAGCGGCTCGGCGAGCGGCTCCGGGATGGTAGGTGGCTTTTCTTCCACCAGGACACCCAAAAAACGGATGTTCTAGAGTCTATAGGTTGGGTCTATCCTAGTACCTGTAAAAGTGGATGAAGATGGTTAGTAAAGGCCTTGTTCAAAACATATAGTGATGTTCTTGTGTACTTGACTGTTACAGGTAAGTTCGGACAGACATGGACAGACCCAATCTATATAGGTACCACCCCCTCCAACTGCCCCAACCCCCCCCCCGTCCCCATCCTTGCCAGTGCTGTGGAGCGCCCTGAAGGTCGCATGGTCCAATGGCAAAAGCCTCGGGGTCCCGTCCGCCGCTCGGTCTGGGTTCGATCCTGTCCGAGTGGGCAAGGCCCGCAAGGCCAACTCAACTCCACCAAGGAGTCCCTGCTTTGCTTCCAAAGGTTCCACAGGTTTGTGATGGGGTTGCAAATGGTTGCAACTGCCCCATCACAAATTCTCAACAGAAATCTTCCTACGGCTCTCAACCTAACACACCCCAACACCCCCACCGCTCCCCCCGACTTCTGGATCAAACCCAAGCAGCTCGTCGACATGTCCCGGGCTGCGCCGCTGGCTGTTCATGGCATGCTGCACCTCCAAGGGCAAGCTGCTGTCTTTGCCTCCGCCATCCGGCGTGGTTTGAGGGGTCGGCCCGACCGGGGCCATCAGCGTCCCCCCATCCGCGGCATCCACTGCGGTTCCCGCGGTTCGCGGGATGGTTGGCATGGAGCGGAGCCGTGGAACCGCCGGGGCGGGTTTGGGGAAGGAGGGTTGAAAGCCTCCCGCTCAAAAGAGACATAAAGAGACCTAAGAGAGGTATTAAGTGACCTGAACTAGGACCCCATAGGGGTACCGAACTGGGATAGTCTATAAGGTCCTTCAACCTCTGTTGGGGGTTCTTGAGGTTCTCTCCAACCAAGCCCATCCTTATCGTCCTTATCCGTCCTTCTGGCCAAGCCATCTGGAACCAACGTCGTCCCAACACGTGGCGTTTCCCCTAACAGCTTCCCGACGTCGCAGGTGCCGGAGGCCCAGAATGGGAAGCAGCCGCAGCCTTGAACGCTCCACGGTCTCAGACCATCCGACAACACGAGCTGGCGGCCAAGCTGCGCACCCCTTGGGGCTGCTCCTTGCACAGCCTCAGGCGCCCCAGTCTTCGCGCACGAACGACCAACCACCGCGATCCACCAACAAAGGTGGCCCCGAATGGGCACTCCTTCGCTCGGCGAAGGCCAGATGAGAAGCGAAGGCCTTCGTTTCGTGGAAGGAATGGAACAAAGACACGGCACCGACCCGAAAAATATAAGGGCAGCCATGCCATCGTGGGTTTGGGTGGCCGTGCCGGTGCCGGTGGCATGGCTCTTTTGAGTCACTGTGGAAACAAAAAGGTTTGGTTTGAGCCTGTGACAGGCGCCCGGTTGACGCCACTAAGCCAATCTGTGGACACGTCTTTATGGGGATTCTCTATGTGCGAAGGTTTTCCACATGGAAAAAACACCGTACCCAAATGGTGATATCTATGATAGAGCTACTAGGAGCTAGAAGCGTCCTTGGGAATCGTTTCACTGGGAATCGTTTCACCAGCAAGGACGCAAGGACGCTATTAGTATGTCTTTGTTCGCTAATCAAAGGTTGACCTGGTTGCGTAGTGTAAACCCTTAGGTAAAACAATGGTTGTTGGAAGCTGGTCCCCCAAAACCATAGGGATTGGTTCGGGTCCGGACCCCTCCATACCTACTTAGCAGGGTCCAGGGTCGCGTCTGGGTAGTAACTATAGTCACAAGAAGGACTTCCCCGGTCCTCGAAGCCACCCGAAGCTCGGCGCGGCGAAAGGGGCCCCCAGCAGGCGGATCACCACGGGGATGCGGCAGAACTCCTGGCTCGAAGAAGCCCAAGAGTGACCATCACCAAATCGCAGGAACGATGGAATGGTGGGGGGCGAAAAAACGACATGATAAACCCCATGGTCTTGTTCCAATTGATGATATTTGACCATGTTTGATGACATTACAGGAACTCAAGAACTCTACTTTACACAGAGTACGCAGATACATTCATCGATATTCCTTCCTTGATCTTCATGTCCATCAAGGATGGAGAACTCAAGAGGGTGCTGTCATTCGTGAGGAGTTCCCCCGAAAATTGGCCTTTCTGTCGTGAGTTCAAGGGTAGGATGGCCGAAATGGTGTGGTCTTTTCACCTGACCCTTTGATCGCCTTTGATCACGAGCTAACCGCGAACCGCTAGACTATTGCAGCCAGTTGCCTTGGTGCTGCTGCAACACCTCTCCTGGGTTCCTGAATGTAATTAGTGTTTCTAGTGAAATTTGATCCCCCGAAAGCTCAGCACGCTTGGAAGGAGACATCATGTCCACCAGGTTCCAAATCCGAATCTCCGAAACCGAAACCGAAACCTCTGTGACTCCGTGTCCCCTTGTTCTACCCCCCTCTCGGTTCAGTGTCCAACATTCCCACCTGCAGGCGCGCACACAGGTCGGCAGCCCGTGGCCACTTCCTGGCTCAGGTGTTCCGTGGACCGACTAATGGGGCTCATCACCGGCTTTTCCTCCAGAGTTTGGGGTGTGTAGAGGAAGTTCAAGGGGCCTCCAACCACCGAAAAGGGCCACCCTTGTCACGCTTCCCATGGCTTTCCCCACCCCACCCCACTGGGCTCACTGACCTCGGCATCTTCGACGTGAACCGGAAGCGGACAACTGCGGCCGGCGCGACTTGCAAGCCACTTTCGAAAAGAGTGTCTGGGCTCCTTGAGCCATTGCCTCCTGGCACAAGTGAGGCGCCGTTCAGGGGTGACCAATGAGGCAAATGCAGGACCAGTGTCTTCCCCCCTCCCAGAACAAGAACAAGGACTTGGAGTGCTAGGTTGAGGGCCTGACAAACCCCAAAAAGATCCAAAAAGAATGTTCCCAGTGCCACGTCGAGAACAGCCTCTCGCATC